AGTAAGCCAGACCCAAAGAAACATAGGTTGCACGGTGGCTCTCATTTGTAATAATTAGAATGTGCCCATAGATCTACAAGTAACCCCAATGGATAGTAAAAGACAAAATATTACACTTGGACATGATAAATTAAACAGCACTCTGATCATTCACGCAGCGAGACAACGGGAAGATATTCTTAGGAGCAGCAGGGCACAAGAGCAATGTGCAAAATGATGCTTATCAAAATGAACTCCAAGAAATGGAAACAAGAAGCCTTTCATTTTACTTTTTGGGTGTTTTTTTTTTCCTATTTTTCCCCTTCATCACTTATTTTTTATTTCTGTACCTTTTGTCTTATATATAAGTTCATCTGATTTGGAGAGGGAAGGGGAAAGACAGAAATGGTAGGACAAAGGGTGAACTAATTCAGTAGTAATACTTACTAGACACTATGTTGAAAATTAACTATACAACTTGGAAAGGAGGGGAAAAAACTGGGAGGAAACGAGGGAGGGGTGACACTGTTCAAAAAGAAGTGTACTCAAACCTGAAGTAGGCTAGTTTCTGACAAATATGGTCTCCAGGATGGAAAGAGTTTCTGTACTGCAGTGTGTGTGTGTGTGTGTGTGTGTGTGTGTGTGTGTGTGTGTGTGTGTGTGTGTGTCTGTGTCTGTGTCTGTGTCTGTGTCTGTGTCTGTGTTGAGAGAAACTCATCTATTCATGTGTCGGGGAGCAGGAAAGTGAATCGAGAGATATAAAATTAGAAGGTACAAAAAGAGATTGGATTTAGAGAAATGATGGGCGGGGCGTGGGCCCTTCCATTGAGAAGGGAATGCACAGAGGGGCAGATAAAATGGCAGTAGGTCAAAGGAGCTCCTACCAAATGGCGTTATGTTTTCTCAAGTAGTGTAGGCAGGAATCCTTCACAACCATCCCAGGGGACCATGTGGAGGCAGGTAGGCAGGCACAGGAGAAAGATTATGATAAGGTTTATTAGAGGGGCCATATCTCCCCGGGAGAGGGCGCACCTGGTGTCTGTCCCTATCCCAGTCACAAGTAGGTCTGGGGGGAAGGGAGGGTGGAAGGGAAGTAAATGCTTGTACAGGTGGGTCTGGGCAGAGAGGGGGAGTGGCCAGCTGTAGGGTGGGAACTCCAGGGCAGAGAGGAGCTCAGGTCTGGGGGAACTGAGAACCAAAGGTGGGGATAATACTAACAGTGAGAACAGAAAATTGCTGAACAAATCACTGAATCCCCACCCTAGAGATCCCCTAGGAAGCTTAGAGGCAGAGGTCGGCGACAAAGTCAACATTCAGCCTCCTGAAAAGAACTCCCAATGGTTGAGGCTGAGAATCATGAGTTTGTATCAGCAGCAACTGACCAAATGCACTCATTTTCCCTTTTACACATGCATGGCTTTATTCAGAGATGACATTTCCTAGAAGTTTCTTAATCAAGAGGTAGAAGGGGCAATAAGTTCAGGATTTTATAAGATCCTGATTCAAGTTAAGGATTATTGGATCAATATTAAAATAAGGCAGTGACAGTAAAAAATGAAGATTAGAAAAACTAGGGATTGGGCTGAGAAGGTAGCTCAGTGGTAGAGCACTTGCCTTGCATGCTCAAGGCCCTGGGTTCGATTCCTCAGCACCACATAAGCAAAAAGAGAAAAAGCCAGAAGTGGCGCTGTGGCTCAAGTGGTAGAGTGCTAGCCTTGAGCTGAAAAGCTGAGGGTCAGTGCCCAGGCCCAGAGTTCAGGCCCCCACGACCGGACTCAAAAAAAAAAAAGAAAAGAAAGAAAAACTAGGGACTTCAGCCAAGCTGTAATCCTAGCTACTCAGGAAGCTGAGATCTGAGGTTTGTGGTCTGAAGCCAGCCTGGTCAGTCAAAGTCCACGAGACTCTTATCTCTAATTAACCACAAAAAGCTGGAGGTGGACCTATGGTTCAAGTGGTAGAGTGCTAGCCTTGAGAAAAAGAGCTCAAGGACAGTGCCCAGGCCCAGATTTCAAGCCCCATTATTGGCACAAAAAGGAAAAAAATAGAGATTCCAATAGCCTGGATACTTCATTGTAGTAGAAGAACAGGTAAGGAGAAAGTAAGAGACTAAATAGTCTGAGAAGAAGAATACAACAGTCCTTGTGGATATGCTAGAATCATATTTCAGCAACTGGACAGTTTTTGGTGACATAGCCACTGGTGGTGGGCAGCAGAAATAGGACAAAGTTCTTTGAAGGTAAAGAAGAATGAGACTGGGCCAGGTACCAGTAGCTAAGGCTTTTTATTATCCTAGCTATCAGGAAGCTGAGACTTGGAGCTTCAGTGTTCAAAACCAGCCTGGCCAGAAAAACCTGTAAGACTTGATCTCCAATGAACCAGCAAATTGTCAGACTGGAGGCATGGCCGAAATGGTAATGCACTAGCTGTATGCAAGAAAGCTGATTGGGAGTATAAAGGCTTAAGTTCAAGCAGTAGAGGAGGAGGAAGAAGGGAGGAGGGGAGAGGAGGGACAGGGAAAGGGAGAGTGAGAGGAAGAAGGGGAGAGGGAAGGGGAGGAGGAGGAGGAGGGAGAAAAGAGGAGGAGGAAGAAGGGGAGGAGAAAGAGGCAACAGCAGCTGGGTGTTGGCCAAGCCATCTATAATGACATTAGGGTTTACCTGGATAACAATGGAAACTGAACCAAGTCCCAAAGCCCCATATAAAATTCAGTCTCACTGGGAAGTTGGTAAAAGGCAGAGTACATAAAAATTAGTAGGCAATATAACTAAACAGCATGTGCTTTTAAAAAAAAAAAAAGGTAGGGGGAAGGAGTTTTTATTTGAGGATGGAGAATACATAGCTTGCAAGTAAGAAGAGAATAGTGTGGGAAATGTTCCCCTTTCCTGGTCTCACAAGAGCATGGAACTAATCAGAGACCCACAGGAGCTGCCGCTCTCAATGAGACTGGAGGGAGGCAAAGCACACTGTTAAAAGACCAGACAGGGTTTACTAGACAGGGATACAGGTGGCTCCACCTTACGGAGAGTTGGAGAGAAGGTTAGAAAGGGAGAGGAGATAAACCACAAGTAGCAGAAGCCACAGCACAAGCAGTGTGAAGGTGGGCCCCAAGAGAACAGAACTGCCTACATGGGGCTTGCATGACCTCGAAGGTGTCAGAGCCTCAAAGTTTGGAGGACCGACCGTGTAAGTTCACTCTGCATACAGAAGGCTCACACACGGCCCAGCATGCCCTGCTGCTGAGTGAGTGCCTGTCCTGTCATCCTTCCCCTTCTGAACGTTACCAAGATTCAGTTCTTCCCCTGCTCAACCTCTTCCTTATGCCTCAAGTCTGGAGGGGTGCTGAGCTCCCCATCCATGACCCTTCCAACCCATAGTTTTCACCCTTTTCCTCATACCTTTCTCTTGCTAATGAAGCAAATAAACAGGTTCTTTTGTGAGCAAAGCCGGCGCTGCAGTCATGTAATAATCCTAGCACCTTTCATCCCAGTCTTTTCGGTGGAATTAGTTTGTTTATCTTCGGAGTTCCAAAGCTGACATCAAATGTATGACTCGCTAGGATTTATAGAGTTTAATAAAGGTATTCCTTGAGTTCATCTCAGTTGAATCTATAATAGCTATTTCTCGATACAAAAAGTCATCACCCAGCTCATCCTGGGCAGTTGAAGGAGAGTCCATGTTTTCTTTTGAGTAGTAAAAGAATGCCCAATATATTTTTTCACAACCTCTCTTACAGAAGTGTCAGTTATGTCTTCAGTTTAATTCCTCCGAAAGTAAACATTTTGAATGAGTTTTTACCCCCTCTTTTTAAAATGTCTTTTCTCTCATCTATTTCACCTTCACTAGAAAAATCACTCAAGGATTTCTTCATGGCATTACACATTTTTATGATCCTTTTATCTAATGGAGGATATATAATTTCTCTAAACTTTATTGGATTGGACTAGCAGATAATGTATAATCACAATTGGTTTTCTGTATTAAAGTCATTTTTTTGTGTTAAGTTTTCATTGGGCTTGGAGAACAATTCACGAGCATTAGCTTTGCTTCCATGGTGTGGTTGAGAGAGTTTGTTTGTGTGGTCATTCTTTTACTCTGTTTCCAATACCAGCTATCCTTATCAAGATACATAAATTGTGTGTGTGTGTGTGTGTGTGTGTGTGTGTGTGTGTGTGTGTGTGTGTGTGTGTGAGGTCTCACATCTGTAATCCTACCTACTCAAGAGGCTAAAAGCCAACGTGGGCAGAAAACTCCTCAAAACTATATCGCCATTTAGGAAAATGTAGGACTGGGGGCACAGCTGAAGTGGTAGCACTCCAGCCATAAGTAAGAAACCAAATGAGAGTGAGAAGTCTTGAGGTCAAGCCTTGGTTCTGTCACACACACACACACACACACACACACACACACACACACACACACTGGTACATACAATAAAACATACCTGTGCAACCCAGCCCATTCTTGGGTCTTGCCTTTTTTTACCATCCAAAGTCATGGAAAATGATGAGACAGAGTTTTGTGTGTATTGTGAAGGAGGAAGTTTAATGAAAGGGTATAAGTTTCTGGAAGACAGAACTGATTGAATCCTACCCTGACTGGCTGATCCTGAAAAGATCCAGAGATGTAATATACAGAGTACAAACAAACCAAAAGATAGCATGCTCATGGGCCTGTTCATTGATCTTTTTATGCCAGTACTTTGTCGGTTAGGGGAACAGTATCCAGTCTTCAAATGGGAGCTGTGTAGGACAGTATTGGCAGCCAAACCATCTTTGACTTTTTTTAACTGATCTGAAGTGATTGCACTATGAATAAATGTTTCCTTTTATCTGTGATTGAAAAATCTGAAAGATGTAGCTTCTTTAGGACAGGAAACTGTGTATGAGGTTTGGGTATGATGTAGGGTTCAGGTGTCCCAAGTGTTGAGGGGTAAACATAGGTCACACATTTCCTTATGAACAGTGTATAACACAGATGATGAGACTCCAGGAATAATCATAACAACCTTGTATTCCTTTTAGGAAGAAAACTCGGATATACCTTCAACAATTGCAACCTCCACAATGTGTCTTTGGGACAAGGTCAGGAGGTGGTGGCCGAGGCTGCTCTGGACCTAGCTTCAAAGAAAGGTCACTGGGTTATTTTACAGGTAAGGTTCCTATTGGAGCATCCATTGCTCTAATGGCATGACTTTCAATATGACTTGACCTTTATCAAATTTCCTTAGGGCAAGTGATGTCTCTTATTTACCTTTTATCACTGAGCAGTCTTAAATACACATCCTCAACAAAAGCTTACTGGGTGAAACTATCAATAAGGAAATTAAAGAAAGAATAAATAAAAAGGTCAGTCATTCCCATCCCATCCTAACTCTCATTATCCAAGACCACCATTCATCTCTTGATGGTGCCATGCTACATCTCGCTTCTCCATCTTCGCCCTTGAATTTCCTGTGATTTATTGGGGAGGGATCTGCTCTTTCCCCAGACTCCATTTCCAGAAGCAATGAGAATTTAACAACACCTAGGAGTCTATTAGCTTCACCTGCTGGAGGTGCTGTGTCTCAGATGCATTTGCCAAGAGACCTCCACTGAAGCGCCTTCAGGAACCAGGCACTCAGCATGGACCTGGCTTCCCAGGACCTGAGGATGAGACCAGGGCTCAGGCTCTTTCCTTGCTGTACTCTAGAGTGGATTTCTCAGGCCCTAGCCTTGGTAGATCCATGTCCGTAAACCCAACGGGGCAGCCTCAACAATCCCGGAATGCACTCAGGTAGCTTCTATCCTCAAACTCAAGAGAGCCTTTCCCATAGCCTTGCTCTGCCTAGTGGCACATACTAGTTGAAGTTGTTGCAGCCATAACTGAATTAGTCCCTCATGTGAGGGCTGCCAGCAGTGCTGGCTATCCAGAACCCTGGCTTTCTAAGTAGCCCCCTAGATGTTCTGCTCCAAGAACATGATTAAAAATGTACTCTTAACAAATTTCCCCTCTTATCTCCCACTACTAACTCTTACATAGCTCCTTACCCTATACAAAGCCCTTTTGAATCCATTGCCTTTGATTATTTGCAGCCAATGCTGAAATGGCAAACTTCATTGTTATTTCTCTTTCTAGAGGAGAGTAAACAGTACTCAGAGAGCCAATTATTGTGCTCTTAGAACTGTGTTGAGTGCCAATCTCTGTGTTTAAGGCTCAGCAAGCCTACTTCCTCAAACACTGACTGGGGAGTTTTTATCTATCCATCATCATGAAACCTACCTCAATGAAGCCAGGTGACTGTCATCCTTAATGTGAGCAGTGCATCCTGTGAAGCTGTGCCAAGAAATAAATACAGGTCTTGGTAGAAAGGCAGGAATGAGCTTTAAGAGAAGGAGATCGGCTCAAAGACCAGACAGAGAAGCTTGAGTAGGGAGCCTTTGTGGGTCTTCCAGACTCAATAACTTCATGTGTTTTATGAAGACAAGTTTTGTGACAACAAACAGCACGGTTTCCTGAGACAAATCAGGAAAGGTAGCTCAGAGTTTAAATCACTACCTTAGAGTTTTAGCACAGATACAACTTACAGAAGGAGCACAATAGAATGTGCTGATTCAGTGATTATAGGGGCCCAGAGCTAAGATCCTGCCATTCTTAACTGGCTCTCAAATGATGTACTTGTGTGTGTGTGTGTGTGTGTGTGTGTGTGTGTGTGTGTGTGTGTGTGTGTGTGTGTGTGTGTGTGTGTGTGTGTGTGTGTGTTCCAGCCCTTGAGCTTGAACTCAGAGCCTGGACATTGTCCCTGAGTTTTTTGACCAAGGATGGTACTCTACCACTTGAGCCACAGCTCTACTTCTGGCTCTTCTGATGGTTAATTAGAGATAAGAGTCTCTCACTGGCTTTCTACCTGGGATGGCTCTGAATTTCAATCCTCAGATCTCAGCCTTCTGAATAGCTAGGATTACAGGTGTGAGCCACCGGCACCCACACATGTATTGCCTTTTAATTCTCAAGTTCAAATAATCCAGGCATCAGGTAGTATGGAATCAGAAGGTCTCACCATTGCACTCTACGTGTGGAGACTGTACCCGCAGCGTGGCAGTGTCTGGAAACCCGTTCAGAACACAGACACTCCACCTCCTCTCCAGAGCTTCCCAATCAGAGGCCCCAGGCTGGGCACAGCAATCTGTGCACTAGCAAGCACTCCAGGGGATTCTCATGTACAAGCAAGTTTGGAAAGACTACATTTAAAAACCTTAGGAGTATCAAACCATAGGGCTCAATTAGAAGGATGCTCCCTATGTAGCACCCCCAGATTCTTTCTGTGATGTAATTTTAGATGTTTCTACTGTTTTTAAAATAAAATGGGATAGGCAACAATCTAAATGCATGTATTGCTTTTAAGCCTTTAAAAATGTACATCATAAGCCAGGCACCAGCAGCTCATGTCTGTCATCCTGGCCACTCAGGAGGCTGAGACATAAGGCTCATGATTCACAGCTATCCAGGGCAGAAAAGTCCCCATGAGACTCTTATCTCCAATTAACATTCAAAAAATAGAAGTAAAGCTGTGACTCAAGTAGTAGAGTGCTAACTTTGAGCATCAAGAGGCTCAGGGACAGTGCCCAGGCCCTGAGTTCAAGCCTGACCAAAAAATAATGTACATCATAGGGCTTGGGGCCTGGCTCAGTAGTAAAGCACTTGCCTAGCATGCATGGAGGCTCTGGGTTCAATCCTTAGCTGAATGAATGAACAAATAAGTAAATAAATAAACAAATATCACACATCTCAAGATGACTGAGGTGATAAACTTTGCATTATGTTTATTTTTAATTTTTAAATGTTTTCATTATCTTTAAGTAGTTGTATAAAAGAGCTGCCATTTAATAAAGCTGTTTATAAATGTAATGTACATATATATTGGTATATATATGTATATATATTCTCACCCATCCCTTCCCAACCTGCCCCTCTCTCTTCTTATTTCTGTAGGATATACACTGCATTATTGTCTGTGTTTTATTACAGTCTTTTTTATTTAAATCTTTACTTGAAGACGAAGGCCTGCTTTCTGCTTTAGCTGCCTTCCTGATCAGTGTGTGCTGGCAAAGCTAAGCAGGTGCCTGCACTGAGGGAGTTTTTTCTTTTTTTTTTTAACCAGAACATCCACCTGGTGGCCAAGTGGCTCAGCACCCTGGAGAGGAAGCTGGAGGAACACAGCCAGGACAGCCACCCAGAGTTCAGAGTCTTCATCAGTGCAGAGCCTGCACCCTCCCAGGAGGGCCACATCATCCCCCAGGGCATCCTAGAAAACTCTATTAAGATCACAAATGAGCCTCCCACAGGCATGCATGCCAATCTGCACAAGGCCCTGGACAACTTCACTCAGGTACTGCCTGGGAGGGAGGGAAGGGAGAATCCACCTCGTAAAGAGCTTACTGGAAACTGGGAGGGGGTGAAGAGAAAGAAGAGCATGTACCTAGGAACAGGAAGGGGTGCCTGCCAGGCTGTGAAGATGTACCAGTATGGGAGAAATCACTGCATAATTGACCTCCACCCAGTGCCCAACCCGTGCTACTCAGTTGTCAGATAAACCAGGAGGAGTCGAGGAGACTTTCTCCTGCAAGAAGTGTGAGTCTTTCTGCAAGTCCACTATTAACTATATTCCAAGGTGGAAGGCCATGCTGCTATAAAGCTAATCCATAGGATTTGCTAAGCATGCTAGGTCCACACAGGGAGATGATGCACTCATTCATACCATATCACCAGCCACCTGCATGTACCTTGAGTCTCAAGAGTTCAAATGAGAGCTGGCGGTGGGGTTGTTCAAGTCATACACCCTTTGCCTTCCAAATCTGAAGCCCTGAGTTCAAACCCACCCCCCTCCACACACACACACAGAGTTCTAATGATCAAGGGACAGGTGGTGAGTATCAGAACTTGGAGTATAACCACTCGTGTGACTTAGAGTGTGCTCTGTAGACCAGCAGCATCAGGATTACCTGGGAACTTGTTAGAAATGTGAATTCTTAGGCCTTGTCCCAGGCCTACTGAACAAGGATAGGGCGTTGCTCCAAAAATCTTTAAAAAGCCTTTCTGTTAGTACTCAACATGATCAAGTTTGAGGACATTGTGGACCAGGGCATCTCGGAAGGGGTTGAACATGGTGACATATGAGAAGTTCATGGTTCAAATTGTTATAATAATAACAATTACTGAGATCCCATCTCAAAAAAAACAAGCTAGGTGCCAGTAGCTCACGCCTGTAATCCTAGCTACTCAGGAGGCTAAGATCTGAGGATCACGGTTCAAAGCCAGCCTGGGCAGGAAAGTCCATGAGATTTTTTATCTCCAATAAACCACTAGAACACTGGAAGTGGTGCTGTGGCTCAAGTGTTAGAACGCTAGCCTTGAGCTGAAGAGTGTAGGGACAGCGCCCAGGCCCAGAGTTCAGGCCCCACCACTGGACCCCCTCCCAAAAAAAAAAAAAAAAAAAAGAAAGAAAGAAATGGAGGGACAAACGGTGAATACCTGCAGCAGTGGTACTCACTGGGTACTATGTTGGAAATGGACATCAGTGGTGCTAGGAAACCCGACGAATTCATCCATGTGCACAGACTTGAACAGTAAACTAAACCCTTGTTAGCTGAATCTAATCAGTAACTCAAATGCTATACAAAAACACAACCCCTCTGCAAGTCTGTCTGAAGCTCTGACCCTCACTTAGCTTCGGTGCTGCCCACAGGCATCTGACCCTGAACAGCAAGAACATTTGGCAGCTGTATCCAGCGTGATGGTGGGCCCTCCCTAGCCTTCCCCTGGGAGGGGAAGCTTCCTGTCAACACTGCAAGTGATGCTTTCCTTTCAGGACACACTGGAGATGTGTTCCCGGGAGACAGAGTTCAAGAGCATCCTCTTCGCTCTCTGTTACTTTCACGCTGTGGTGGCAGAAAGACGCAAGTTTGGTCCCCAGGGATGGAATCGGTCCTACCCCTTTAACACTGGGGACCTCACCATCTCTGTGAACGTGCTCTACAACTTCCTGGAGGCCAACACAAAGGTAAAAGGAAGTAGTTCAGGTTCTGGGACAGGTCAAGAGGCCACCCCCACAGGCCAGTGTTGTATTCCCACATGGGAGAGTGTGCTTTGGCAAAGGTCTATACTACTCAAGTAGGGTGAGTGCCAACCACAGGACCAACCCTGTGCTTAGAAGTTCTACAGTGAGGTCAGAGGCCAGGCCAGACAGTGACCATGGAGACAATCTAGGAGAAGACACCCCTCCCCCCAGGCACCCAGACAACCTGCATGAATGCACAGCATTGAGAGGGGCAGAGTTGGCAGGAAGAGACCCCCCCCCACCACATGTGGCTGATCTCAGTTCCCACTTTCACTAGCCAAGGATTCTGAATGTATCCAAAAGCATGTAGCTTCTCATATAGTAACAAGCTGATTTTCCACACATTAAAGAAAAACAAAATCTTCCTCTTCTGTTGGGACAACTTCATCTCAGAGAAAAACATGTGCTAACCAGCAATGCTCCCTCCTCCAGTAAAGGATCTGTTCCGTCATGAGCCAAAGCCAGCACCAGCAGGACCCCTGACATTTCCTGATAGGGAAAACAAATCAGCCTCAGATCCCTGAGAAATCCTCCCACCTGTGAGTTCTGGGGAGACCTACCCCACCCCATAATATCAACCTTTCAGTTGTTTGGCTTCCCATCCTAACGTTCGCCCCGGTGATCACGTAAGCTGCATTTCACTGATTCTGAACTTGTAATGGGACAGTTAATTGACCCTGTTATGAAGGGCAGACGTTTAGGAAAAAACCAAGGTCCTCGCTGCCCTCACATTTGACATGTATCAGTTCCAGAAAGAGTCTGACTTGATTGTCACAGTCAGTAACGATGAAAGAGAGGAGGCTGCCATCTTGCCCCTCTCCTCACCCTTGGATGTAATTCCGCAAGTAATCAGCTCCCCAAATACACCTCATGCTGCTGGACACTAGGAGTGTGAAGACAAGTAAGACATTGCTTTTCATCTTCAGCTACATCATATCTTGTGGCCCGGGCAGGAGATTTGCTTTTCCCTCTTCCTTGCCCCTGTCTCCCAGGTACCCTTCGATGACTTGCGCTACTTGTTCGGCGAGATTATGTATGGAGGCCATATCACGGATGACTGGGACAGAAGACTCTGCAGAACCTATCTGCAGGAATTCATCAAGCCGGAGATGTTAGAAGGAGAGCTCGCCCTGGCCCCTGGCTTTCCACTCCCGGGCAACATGGACTACAGTGGTTATCATCAGGTGAGGCTTTGCTCTGGGCTCACAGAGGGCCCCTGTGACTCCTCCTACACACAGCCCCCATTGTGCACATGCTGTGGCCCAGGCTGTGGGCATCAGGCAAGAGCCATGGAAGAATGGCCCAAGGAACCAGGCTGATAGCAACTTTTGTTCTCTGCCTTGAGCTGACTTTGTTCAACTCATTAATAAAGTTGAGCCTTTAGAGATCTTCTTGTTCCTGATATTTGATTCGATCATTCTGGTTTTATGTTCTGTTCTACAGTTAATACTTAGGACAGTTTTTGCTTGTTTTTAATTCAGCTCATTTACAAAGCCACTATTAAATAGGGCCAAATTTCAGGTAAAAATGTACAGAGCATGGGTAGTTTTTCAGCAGTCCTAAATATCTTCAGAGAGCATCCAGTGATGAAATTTCTCTTAGTTCCTATATTCTGTAACCCTCCTGGTTCCCATTGATTGCTTTGGACACATTCTCATGAAACCTTTCCTACTCTTAATTTTTCACATTCTATTACTAAAGCTATTTTTAAAACATTCAACTTTGAACATGTAATCTGCCTTGGAAAATATACTGAGAGATGGTTTCCTTGAAAACAAAACTTTTTTAACTTTGGAACATACCTTAAAAATTTGAACTAACATTTACCAAACTTTATACCAAATTTAAGGGAGATAGTAGTTGTAGAAATGCTAACTATAAGCTTTTTACTTTTTTAAATTTGTGATTAGTCATGAAAGACATTTGATCCAGGAAACCCATGCCTATGAGAAGAAATTTAATGTTATACTCATAAATTGACATGTTAAATTGTAACCCTTTTGTACAACTACTTAGCAATAATAAAATAGGTAATTTTAAAAAAAATTAAAGCACTAACACCAGTTACACAAACAGGAAAAAAAATTTTGACATTTAACTTTTTGTTGTTTTCATTTTTTATTTGTTTTGGGGGGATTTCACAATGCCTTTTTTTTTTTGGTCAGTTGTGGGCCCTGAACTCTGGGCCTGGGCACTGTCCCTCAGCTCTTCAACTCAAGGCTAGCACTCTACCACTTGAGCCAGAGCACCACTTCCAGCTTTTTTTTCTGCTTATGTAGTGTTGAGGAATTGAACCCAGGGCCTCATGCATGCAAGGCAAACACTCTACCACTGAGCCACCTTCCCAGCCCCAACTTTGAATTTTTAAAGAAAAAAATTATCATAAAGGTGATGTACAAAGGGGTTACAGTTAAACAAGTCAGGTAACGAGTACATTTTTTTCTTTTTTTATTTTTATTTTATTTACTTATTTATTGCCAGTCCTGGGGCTTGAACTCAGGGCCAGGGCACTGTCCCTGAGCCTCTCTGTGTTCAAGGCTAGCACTCTATCACTTGAGCCACAGCACCACTTCTGGCTTTTTTCTGTTTATGTGGTACTAAGGAATATGAACCCAGGGCTTTGTGCATGATGTACCACTCAGCCACATTCCCAGCCCAATGTGTTTCTTTTTGAACAATATCACTTCAAGAATTTTTTCTTAACCAAATCTTTAGTCTTTACATCCACCTCAGAAAGTAGTGCACGTGTGCCCTCTAGTGTCCATGCAATAACTCAACAAGAAGCGATGGGCAGTCCAAAAAACATCATCCTTAATAAAGTAGGTCTGGTTTTCTGACCCAACAGTAGCATGGCTTGTGCATTTCCAAATGACTCCTTTCAGTTCTTCCTTTTAATCTGTAAGTTAATAGATGGTGACAGGTCATCTTCCTCGGACCAGAAGTGTGCTGAGTGCTAGAGTGAGTGGAAAGATAAATGTGCAAGTATGCCTTTAAGGAATGCAACCATTTACTTAGACTAGACGTTATCAACAGCAAGCAATCATCAAAGTCCTGGCAGGAACCTAACTTTCTCACCATTATAAAAAGCACATGAGAAGAAAGTAACCTGGGCAGGAATTTTCAGGCAGGACAGACCCTGGCCACAAGAACTGACTGTGGAGATGTGCTATTTGGTGGCATGCTATTTTAAACTTTTTGAACTCCAATGCCTTTTCCCAGATGTATGAACCCTTCTATCTACAGCCAAGTTAATCTCCTTCCCCCGCCCAATCCATACACATTCACTTTGTGTGCACAATCCCATTAATGGGTTTGAATGTGTCATCCCTGGTTTAGATAAACAGAGAGAAGAGAAAAGAATTGAAAAGGCTGGGTTCCTGCAAGGGCTTAAGTGAAAAATGCCAGGGAAGGCCAGGGGCTGATGGTTCTCACCTGTAATCATAGCTAATCAGAAGACTGAGATCTGGGGATAGCAATTCCAAGCTAGAAGTGGAAGTGTGGCTCGGGTGGTAGAGAGCCAGCCTCAAGCGAAAAAGCCAAGCACAAGAATAAAGCGCTGAGTTCAATCCCCAGTACCTCCCCTTTTCCCAACACCCACCCACACACACACACCCACACACACACACACACACACACACACACACACACACACACACACACACTACAAGGAAAGGGATTCATATTTCTCAGACTTTGAGAAATCTAGGGGGGGGAGTTGGTAAGAAGTCTCCCCTGGAGGGGTGCCGCGGAGACACATCTTTGGTGGCTTTCTAAGTGAGTCTGCCCTTGATTTCAGTACATCGATGCAGAGCTGCCCCCTGAGTCGCCCTACCTCTATGGCCTCCACCCAAATGCAGAAATCCGCTTCCTGACCCAGAGCTCAGCAAAGCTCTTCCGCACTGTGCTGGAGCTGCAGCCTGGGGACAGCCAGGCTGGGGATGGAGCCGGCGCTACAAGAGAGGAAAAGGTATGCCCTGGTGGGGAGGGTCATTAGAGGGACCCATGGGCATGAGGATGCCTCTAGGCCTTGTGCCCAAGTCCTTGAGTGGAGGGTGTGGTGAGATGTCAAAGTGAACTATCTCCATGATTTTTTTTTCCTAAAAGATACATTCATTAAAACTCCAAGGGAGGTAAGTCCCCCACCCTGTAGAACTCCAAGATCCTGTTAGGTTTACATGATTAGGTTTATATTTGTAAAGCTTCAAAGGTTTGAGTGGTTGTCAGACTTTTAGGCTATAGGGAACTGAGTTTAAGAAAACCAGAAGAGGTAGTCTAACTCTTAGAATGACCTAATTATACCAGGAGTTCTCAGGTTTTAACATGCCTGAGAAGGAGCTAGTGGGCTTGAAGTTCTGCCTCAGAGGGTACAGCTCTGCGGTAGAGTGCTTGTTCAATCTTCAGTGCTGGGAGGGAGGAAGGAAGGGAGGGAAGGGATGGACACCAGAGGATTCTGATTCTGAGATCTGCACCAAGGAATTGGTGATCTGGTGGTTGCGATGTGTGTGGGCTGGCACCAGGAAGCTGTTCCGCCCAGCCTGTTCCGCCCTTCCATTTCTAAGATGCAAGTTGAAAATAAAGGGAAGAACCAAATCAGCAGGAAAGAAAAACGCTCCTGAACATAGGAAGAAAAAAAAAAAACTTGGGGGGCTGGGAATGTGGCTTAGTGGTACAGTGCTTGCCTAGCATGCATAAAGCCCTGGGTTCAATTCCTCAGTGCCACATACAAAGAAAAAGCCAGAAGTGGCACTGTGGCTCAAGTGGTAAAGTGCTAGCCTTGAGCAAAAGAAGCTCAGGGACAGTGCGCAGGCCCTGAGTTCAAGCCCCAGGACTGGCAAAAACAAACAAACAAAAAAGCCTTCATCTGCCTGTAACCTCAGGATTTGGAACTAGCAATTTATTTACTTTTTGGCAATGGTGCTATTGGAGTTTAAACTCAAGGCTCACAATGAAATTTTCCGTTCTGACAGGACAGCAGTGGGACAGAATAAGGGCTTATAGTTACAGCCTTATTTTAATTTTATCTCCTCTTCAAAGGCCCTCCGTGCTTCCAAACATACTCATCTTCTGAGCTACTGGGAACTGGGGTGTCTGCATATGAGTGTGGAGAGGGCACTGGAGCCCCCTAGGTACAAGCCTGCTCCCTTCCCAAATGACGAAGCGAGGAAGCAGTCTGTTCCCATTTAAGTCCCTTCGCTACTGGATTTCTTTGGTGCTGAACAGACCAACTAGACCTTTGGAGAAAAGTAAAGCAGGGTTCCTTGTTCCTTTTCCAGAGTCTATTTCAGAAAGCTCAAATATTTAAATGTAACACACACACACAACCATACAACTCAAAAGCTTGGAAGACAGCTAGGGCAAATGCTTTTATGATCTGACAAAGGAGGAAAGCATTTTTAAACTTTAAAAAAAATGAAAATCTATATAGGAAAAGATAGGCAAATTGATGGCTTTAAAAATGTCTGCAAAGAAAAAAACTGCCACCAACAAAGTCAAAATCAAATCATTTTGCTGCATACATACTGGGCAGTGGGCAGATCTGATTAAAATACAGAGTTCTTCTGAATGAAAAAAAAGAAGCTAAGAGAAGGAAGGAAAAGATGAACACTATGGAAATTCACATAATAAATACAAATGGCCAGTAAAAACTAGTGAAAATATTCTCAGTGCCATTCAGACCTTAAGAAAGCTAAATAAAACTCCATTACCCAGGTGATGGCAAGGATTTAAAGATATGTTACTATCCACATAAGAAAGTAGACACTCTCACTTTGACTGATAAAAGTTTAATTTATAGAACAATTTGACGATAGCTACAAAAAAATTCCTACATAACTGATTGCTAAAAATCAGTTTTGGAAATGGAATCAGTCAGCAGAAATACTCAAAAGTGCACAATTTTTAGGATATCTGCATATAACTTATTGGAAAATGACTGATAGCAGTAGAAATGGTAAACAGACTGAATATCAACAGAAGTGAAAATAAATGATGGGTGTCAAAACAGTGAACTAATACTCTTAAGCAGAGTCAGGCCAAATCCTATGCAGTAACAAGGGAATCAGTTCAAGATTTATAGGGCTGAGGATATAGCTCTATAGTAGAGCACTTGCTTAGTGAGCATGAGGCCCTGGGTTCAATCACTAACACTACCCAAAAGAACTATTTTGTGGGTCATTGGGCCTGAACTCTGGTCCTGGGCGCTGTCCCTCAGCTCTTCAGCTCAAGGCTAGCGCTCTACCACTTGAGCCACAGTGCCACTTCCAGCTTTTCTGCTTATGTGGCGCTGAGGAATCGAACCCAGGGCCTCATGCATGCAAGGCAAGCATTCCACCACTGAGCCACCTTCCAGCCCCTACCAAAAAGAATTTTTAAGGTATAATATATTATTATGAGATAGAAAAAGCAAGCCAAAAAGCTTGCTTTTTGGTTTTACCATCGTATGGTTTTACCAGTGTGAGAGAAAAGGCAGAAGTAGACATATCAGATGAATGAATAGATGATGACTCAGAGAATTAGCAATATAAATTTAAAAATTAACAGTTTGACACTGGTTTCCCCCTATTGAGGGAAGAGTAAAGATTACAAGAGGATTGCTTTGTTTTATGCTTTTATTTTTTTTTGGTACCAGTACTGGGACTTGAACTCAGAGCCTGCGTGCTTTCACTTCACTTTTCCCCCTCATGGCTGGCACTCTTACTACTTGAGCCACAGCCCCACTTCCAGCTTTTTGGTGGCTAATTGGAGATTAGAGTCTCCCAGACTTTTCCTGCCCAGGCTAGCTTTGAGCCACAACCCTCAAGTCTAAGCCTCCTGAGTAATTAGGATTACAGGCACCAGCCACCAATGCCCAGCTATTGGAGGGGTTTGCTGCTACAATCCTTTCTATCTGCAATGTCTAGATTTTTTTCTGGTAAATATATGTTACTATTCAAAAAAAAAAAAGAGCAGAAGTGTTGCTTATATAAGTCAAGTAGGTCATGTCCCAAGGAGCCTGCCCTTCCCACCCGAAGGGCGCCTGGGTTTTCTGAGCAAAACAGCATCCATTGTATGCATGTGACTCACTCATTCCCCATCCATCTTCTCCCTGCTCAGAGCTCCAAACCCGCCTCGGCCTGGTGAGAGACCAGGTGGAACTCTGCATCACACACACACCCCCTCCCCGCCTCCTCCATTTCGTGTAGTTTGGTACCCTGCCTTGAGGCTATCTTTTCATCTCTTTGTGACTAACGTGGAAATGGCAGCTCGCTGATAGAGGGCTGTTTCTTCACATTCCACCCCAGAGACAGACATAGGATATCAATTTAGCCATTTGTCTTCCACCCGGCACTTTCAGGTACCATTAAAATTCCATTCCGGTTTTTGCTTATGACAGCACCAGAGACCCATTTGTGATGGGGTGATGGGAGTTTGGTTTCTTCTTTTACTCACATCAGCTTTTTTCCTGGAGAATGGATTATGATATGTTAACAATACAAGGCAGGGTGAATATTAATCATCCTTCCCATTTATATAGACTTTAGAACTTTCAGCTGCCCTCACATTCAGCAGTTCATTTGATTTGGTCTTTGGGAGTTGAGGAAGAAGAAGTCAGTAGAGAAAGACACACTTGGAAACTGACAGATTGAAAACATTGAGGCCTATTTGGCTTATATGAGCCATGCATGGTAGAGCTGCATTCACTTGGTCAGGGCTCTATGGTTGTAAGCAACAGACACCAATCTAACTGAATCAGGTCAGAACTAACATACTCTATCAAAGAGAATCAATGGAAGAAAGGACAAAGACCCTATGACCCTAGGGCCCCAGGAAGAAGGAAGAGTACACAGGCCTTTCAAGGCATCTCTATCCTCATTAAATGTTCGGATCCCAGGTTTCAATCTTTCCTGCTCTTGAAAAGATAATCTGATGGGCTCACTGGGTCAGGAAAGGCTGCCACAAGTCACAGTCTCCAGAAAGATAGGGAAGAACAATTTCCCTAAGGGGATAGGAACCTGTTACTTGAAGAAAGGAAAAAAGGATGATGTATAAACAAAATCCAAGCATAATCTCAGGCATGTGGCTCTCACCTCTCAGGACCCCTGGAAAGGCTGGTATTTGCTTATAGACTCCTCTCCTCCCCCTCCATCCTTGTCTGCTGGCCATATGGCCTATGACATCTGCATTTGTTTCATTTTTCTTTGTTGACAGACCTCCTGGGCTTACTTATTTACTCCAAAATGGCAGACTCAGCGGCCAAGTGGTTGGCCCAGAATAACCTAGGATCTCTGCATCTCGATTCCAATTTTCCAGAAGAGAGGCCCTGATGGTTCTAATTCCCCTGGTCTAATTAGTTAACACTTTGTGTGGGAAAAGCAATTGTGGGTACTAGAGAAGGATTACATGATGAATCGTTATGCCCCTTCCAGAACTCAAGGATAGAAACCACAGTATCACCTCCTAGACATACAAAATTGAACAGAATGTGGATATGCGTGTATATGAGAGAGACAGAGAGACAGAGAGAGATCCCTCAGGATGTGTGGGAATTTGGTCCTAGGCTCTCCCACAGATACCAAAGTCTACAATGCTGGTTTCTTGTGTAAAATGCCATCGTATTTGCACCTAGCCCATGCATATCCCTTTGTGGACTTTGCTTATTGTGATGCTGAGGACCAAACCCAGTTACCTCAGACATGCTATGCAAATGCTCTACCACTAAGCCCCCTTGTGTACTTTGAGTCATCACCATATGACTATGCAAATGCTATATGAATAGTTGTTATACTGCATTGTTTAGAAAATAATGACAAACTATGCCAGTGGATGAACCTAGAACAAATCATGTTAAGTGACATAAGCCAATCTCAGAGAGACATGTGGCACCAGAGGCTAGATCTAAAATATAGGCACAGGGCTAAGAATGTGGTTTAGTGGTAGAGTGCTTGCCTTGCATGCATGAAGCCCTGGGTTCAATTCCTCCATACCCACATATACAGAAAAAGCCAGAAATGGCCCTGTGACTCAAGTGGTAGAATGCTAGCCTTGAGCAAAAGCAGCTCAGGAGCAGTATCCAGGCCCCAAGCTCAAGCCCCAGAACTAGCAAAACAATAAAATAAATAAAATACCGGGACATAATAAATTATACAGGTCTCTAGGCATTCATACACAGTGACACCAAAGGTGGAGGCTCTTAGGAGAGGAACACAAAGGAAAAATGGTTATGTCCATCTGATCATACAAAATAATATTTATCAAAATGAACTCCAGAAATGGGGTAAAAAAAAGTCCATACTGGTTTAATGATAGAAGTGGCTCTGTGGCTCAAGTGGTAGAGCACTAGCCTTGGGACAACACCCAGGCCCAGAGTTCAAGCCCCACCACCACCACCAAAAACAACAACAACAAAAAAATCCCGGTTTAATGATATAGATGTCGTTATGTCGTTATACTGGGATTTGGACTCCAGGCCTTGTACGTGCTTAACTGCTGCTCTCACACTTGAGCCATGCCTCCAGCCCAGGTTTTGCTGGGTATTTGGGGGATGGAATCTCACAGACTTTTTCTGCCCAAGCTGGCTTCCAATCCCAATCCTCCAGATCTCGGTCTCCTGAGTAGCTAGGATTACAAGCATGAGCGACCAGATGCCTGGCTTGTGTATTTGTTTTCTAATGCATGGTTTAATTGGATCTGAAGATGAAGAGTGTACAGGCATGGAGGGCTAGCTGTGTGTATGCATACATATATGTACATGTGTGCACTCCCCACATATTCTCACTGTATGTATATATACTACCACACCAACACACACATGCACACACACATACACAATCATCATTGCTGCTCCTTGCTTCAGCTTCACACACCCCATTGAGGCCATCCAGGCCTGCATCTACTTATGGCTTCATACTTTGACTTCAACAGATAATTGGGTCAGGCTCGGGACTTTTCAACCCCCATGCTTAAAAAGGCATCTGTGTTCATCTTTTCAAGCTGGCCACACAAGCCCCAGGGCACTGCCAGTGATGGAGAGACTCCCCCGCGGTCAGTCTTGCACCCTGATCTAGTTGACCTAAGCAAGCAGTCAAGGGTGTGGCCAAGGCTGAGAGGGGGGAGGAGGATGGGTGATTGGCACCTGCCACACTGCTGGAGGAGGGAGCCCTGCGGGAGGATAGAACCCCTCATAACCCTGTGTTTTCTGCTGTGAGGACAGGTCAAGGTGCTTCTAGAGGAAATACTGGATCGAGTGACAGATGAATTTAACATGTCAGAGCTGATGGCCAAAGTGGAGGAACGCAGCCCCTACATTGTTGTCGCTTTCCAGGAGTGCGAGCGGATGAACATCCTCACCAGAGAGATTCAGCGCTCACTCAGAGAGCTGGGCCTGGGCCTGAAGGTGAGCAACCGGAAAGTAATCAGAAAAGAATCAGGATAGTGCACATGCTCTGGTATTTCTTTGGGGCAAAGAAAAACCCACCGTTTCTCCTAGCGATGAATAAGAACCACATTTCCTATATTCCCTGTGAGATATGGCACAAGGTGCCCAGCACAGAAGCTGGTATGATCGTTAGCCAGGACAGTGGGTAGATGCCTTGCCTGCCTTCGAAGAGCTGAGCAGCGGGACTGGTACTAGTTCACATTGCATTCCCCTGCTCCACCTCCCTGGTAGAACACAAGCCTGGCTTACATAAGACCTGGGTTTCTATCTACAGCATGGGAGAGAGAATGGGAAAGGGGAGGGCAGGGAGAGGGACAGGAGAAGGAGAAAGGAAAGAAGCAGGGAAAGTGGAAAGGAACAGAGGGGAATTATAATCCAGGCAGAAAGAAGTGAGAAGCCAGTAGGAGCCAACATGAAAGCTCAGAAAAGCCCTGGAGGTCTGTGTATAGAAAAAGATAGTACCATGCTGTGGTTTGGAGGGTGACACAACCATAGCTCTGTGTGTGTATGTGTGTGTGTGCAGGAAAAACAATTGTGAATTTTCCATGTGCAGACAGACCTACAAACTACGTAACACCCTGCGAAAGCTAGGTCCGTGGGGTTTTCTTATATTTTCAATTTCTTCTTCCTCAATGTAAATAAATGAAGGGGAAAAAGAAAAGACAAGAATGAGATGCTGAAGACTAACCATATTTGGTAATGTTTCCAAACTCCAGACCAGCATCTAATCAAATGAAATCCAGAATTCTACTGTCCCACGGTGTGTCTCCATTGCTGTGGTAAGCAGGAACACAGCAGCAATTACCTTGGGTCGGCTCACCGCAATCTTAGCTCATTGACTCCATGGAATTTAACACAGTCTATTTTCCCATTCAACTTCCAATTCCTACACTCATTTTTTCTTCCCAGAGCTTTCACTGCAGTCTGATGTCATCCATCACCAAAGATGCCTGGGCACAGATGAGGGGGTGGTAGTGTTTCTCTCCTCTCAGCCTGGTCTACCCAATGATGATCGATGAGCTTTGGGGGCAAATTGCAGTGCTGAGATTTGCCAAGGTACCAAAGAGACTGAGCCTTCCTTTCCTGTACAGTCACTGGGGGAAGCAAACACAAGAACAGGGTGAAAGGCAAGGAAAGATTTGCTCAGTGCCACCTGGAGAGACATAGGGAAGAAAGGACAGACGGATGGGACTGAGTTTGGAAGGCTGCGGGACTGGCACTGCAGGGAAGGCCCTGAAGGAAGGAGAGACAGGGAACAGGGGATGTGTGAGGAGGAAGGAGGGGTCACAAAACCTGCCCTAAGTGTTTTACTTTGAGTGGAGCGATGGTTCCCTCAGGTAAGCCGAAGGTGACTGTTCCAAACAATGACCCAGATGTCTCAAGATCATTTCCTTCCTGCTCCCTCCATGACCCCAAGGACAGACAGAATGGTCTCCACTCAACATGCCATCAGGAATCCGGTCTCAGGAGGATAGCCCAGTCATCAGACCCACTGGCAACCCGTGGGCCTTAGGATGAGCTCAGCTCCTGCCACACAGCTGAGAGGCGCCTGGCAGGCAGAAGGAAAGGCTGGAGGATGGAGTGCTGACGAGGAGGGCCCAAGGAGAAGGCAGCAGAACTCAGGGGAGGGAAAACACCAAGGTGTAAGGAAGAGAGGAGATCCGTGCCAAGAAGTGAGAACAGGAGTGGACCCAGCAGAAGGGGTAGAGACAAGAGGGGTCCCAGGATGGTAGGGTTGCCGTGAGGGACAGGGGGAGGCTGGAGGGTGGAGGCTGTTAAGTGGAGCAATGGGGACCATCAGCTCCAAGCTTGCTGTGGGGATGGTGGCCTGAAGGCTCATGCAGCTCTGCTGATCCACTTCCCTGGCAGGGGCCAGGGGACAGCCAGGAAATTTGGGGTATTCATTCTTTCTCTAGAACCATCTCAACTATTTCTGGTTGGCAGAGCGGGACACAGGCAGGTCATGTCCCCCCAACAGGGTAGACTCAAATGTTCTGCCCCACACATGCATTTGATCTATAAGTTCCCACTTTTGAAGTCATCGAGTGAAGACCCTGAGCATTGTCATAGAGAAATCCTTATCCACACGAATCCATCACAGATGTCCATTCAAAACTCCTCAGCGGAGAAGCACAGTCCTGAGGCCCTGAGGATCACGGGAGCTCAAGGCACACGTATGAGTCCCTGGGAAAGGCCATCTGGCCACAAGTGTGTCCCCACAGAGATGCTTTCCCTTGGGACATTCACCACTGATATCCAGGCTCTTGGGCCTAAGGATATAGAGTCACAGGCTCTGAGTATCCCAGAGTTGATGGCAAAGTGGTACTGACTCATGCTAATCATACTCTCAAAAGCCAAACACTCCAGCATCCTGAAGATGCTTTCACAAGACCATCAGCCATAACTTTCAAACCATCATACCCAGACAGTTCTCTTCCTGTGAGGGCTACTGCATGAAAATCCATGCTTTTTTAGATTTGCCTTGAAATAATACATACTAATGACAACTGACTTCTGAACATTTGAACTGTTTGTTTTTGTCGGTCATGAACTCAGGGCCTGGGCACTGTCCTTGAGCCTTTTTGCTCAAGGCTAGTGCTCTATCACTTGAGCCATAGCTCTACTTCCAAACTACTAAACATTTTTTTTGGTCGGTCGTGGGGCTTGAACTCTGGGCTTGGGTGCTGTCCCTGCGCTCTTCAGCTCAAGGCAAGTGCTCTACCACTTGAGCCACAGCGCCACTTTGGTTTTCTAGTGATTTATTGGAGATAAGAGTCTCACGGACTTTCCTCCCCGGGCTGGCTTTGAACCATGATCCTCAGATCTCAGCCTTCTGAGTAGCTAGGATTACAGGCGTGAGCCACCGGCGCCCGGCTAAACATTTGATTGTGGCTAGGCTACGGTCTAGGTGTATGGTTCAGTGATGCAGCACTTGCCTACAGAGTGTGAGGTCTACATTCAAACCCCCAGCACTGCAGAAAGAAAAGTTTCTTGGGCATGGCAGTGCATGCATTTAATCCCAACACTTGGTGGTCTGAGGCAGGAGAATGATGAATTTAAGGCTAGCCTGGGCTACAGAGCAAGATGAACAAGAGGAGAGAAACGAGGGAGGGAAGGAGAAAAGAGGAGAAAGAAGAGAAGGAGGAGGTGGAGGAGGAGGAGAAAAAGAAGGAGGTGGATGAGGAGGAGAAAGTGGAAGAAGAGAAGGAGGAGGAAGAAGAGGAGGAGGAAGAGGAGGAGAAAAAGGAGGAGGAGGAGAAGAAGAAGAAAAAGGAGGAAGAGAAGAAAAAGGAGGAGGAGGAGGAGGAGGAGATAAAAAAGGAGGAGGAGGAGGAAGAGGAGCAGGAGGAGAAACAAGGAGGAGGAGGAAGAAGAGGACCAGGAGGAGAAACAAGAGGAGAAGGAGGAGGAGGAGAAAGAGGAGGAGGAGGAGGAGGAGGAGGAGGAGGAAGAGGGGGCTGCAAGGTACTGGTGGCTCACGCCTGTAATCCTAGCTACTCAGGAGGCTGAGATCTGAGGATGGTGGTCCAAAGCCAGCCAGGGCAGGAATCTATGAGACTCATCTCCAATTAACACTAGGAAACTGGAAATGGTGCTGTAGCTCAAGCAGTAGAACACTATCCTTGAGCCAAAAAAAACCCCAGGGATAACATCTAGGCCTTGAGTTCAAAGCCCCATGATGCTTTGTTTTCGAAGCCCTTCCAAGATACACTGGCAGATGTCTGTAGGTGTATAGTCCTCTTCCTCAGAAGGGGACACAGGCACACTTAGAGATGGGGTGCGGGGTGGGGGAGACAGAGTTTTCTCATGTCTCTTCTCAGATCCTCTTCTGAAGGATGAAGTCCTTTCAACTTCTGCTCAAAGTCAGGCAAACACTTGATCTCACTAGAGGCGGGGGATTGCTTATTTTCTTAACTTATTTCACCCACCTACCACTGCCCCCCACACACACACAGCAAAAGAAAAACCCCTAACAAGTACCTGCTTTAAGTTTCCATGACTTGTACCTTCAATTAGAAAGTACAAGGTCGTGGCCAGAATAAATTACCATCTTATAAGCAAATGTGAGAACATTTTAAAGAATCCAAATTGCACATTTTATGTCTTTCTGCTATTCAAATGAGTTTAACTTTCTGAAAGGTGTTAAAGCATTAAATAGTGCATTAAAGGGAGAAAACACACATCCAACCTCCATTTTTGTCAAGCAGCTTTAAGTTCACAGCAAAATTGAGTCAAAGGCACAGTTTCCACATGGCTGGTCCTACCCAGTAGCTACCCATCTTCTCCCAACAGGGTACGGGCACTGCAGGAGCGGCCAGCACTACAGCCATTGTCACAGTCATAGCTCACCCCAGGATTCAGTCTCTTTTATTTTCCAGTCCTGGGGCTTGAACTCAGGGCCTGGGCACTGTCCTTGAGCTTCTTTTGCTCAAGGCTAGCACTCTACCACATGAGCCACCGTGCCACTCCTGGCCTTTTCTGTGTATGTGGTACTAAAGAATTGAAACCCAGGGCTTCATTCATGTGAGGCAAGCACTCTACCACTAAGTCACATTCCCAGCCCTCAGGTTTCATTCTTGATAGTGGACTTTTTATGGCTCTGGACATATAAATAATGGCCATATCAATGGTAGAACATCCGTCTTCTGTGTCCATATATATATATATATATACACACACACACACACACACACACACACACACACACATATTTATGCCATATACACCTATACATATAGGTGTCACTGAGTTTGAACTCAGGACCTCACATTCTTGCTCAGCCTGCTTGCTCATTATTGATGCTCACCACTCAAACCATTCCTCCAGTCCATCTTTTTGTTAGTTAATTGAATCTGGTATCTCATAGGCTCTGCTTCCTCAGCCAACTTCAAACCTTGGTCCTCCAGATCTCTCGGCCTCCTGCATAGCCAGGAGTACAGTTGTGATCCACCAGAACCTGGCAATACCACATATATTTTCACTGGTTCCCTTTCTCTCTCCCCCACCCCTCTCTCTCTCATCTTTGGATTTGAACTCTGAGTCCTTGCTTTAATCGTTTCCTAAGCCCAACATTGCTTTTTATAACAAAACTCTTTTAAAAGTGAATAGCTTCACTGAAATCTGGGAACAGAGAGGAAGCTGTTGGCTTAGCATGGGGAGCTGGCCAGAAACAAAGGCTTCTCTAAAGAAACTAACGGACAGCAGCTGTCAGTGTCCCAAGCTCCATCCGACCTCGGTGCTCATCTACTGTGGCCCAGTTCTCAGAACAGGTGACTAGGGGGAGAATAATGGAGGGTCTGATAATGATCTAGACACAATGTTCTCATGAACTGACATGTCTACTCGAATCCCCTTGGTACAACTACATAGAGATAATTTCTTAATGAATAAAAAATTTAAGGCCAGGTGCTCATGCCTCACACTTGTAATCCTATGTATTCAGGAGGCTGAGATCTGAGGATCAAGGTTCAAAGTCAGCTGGGGCAGGAAAGTCCATGAGATTCTTATCTCCAATTAACCACCAAAAGGTCAGAAATGGAGCTGTGGTTCAAGTGACAGGCCACAGTGCCTAGGCCTTGAATTCAAGCTTCAAAATAGCACACACACAAAAATATTTCAATAGAACAGGTGCCTGCTAGGTGCTGGTGACTCACACCTGTAATCCTAGCTACTCAGGAGGCTGAGATCTGAGGATCACAGTTAAAAGCCAGCCTGGGCAGGAAAGGCTATAAGTCTCTTATCTCCAAGTAGACACACACACACCACACACACACACACACACACACACACACACACACACACACACACACACACACACACACACACAAAGCAGAGTCAGCTGCCGGTTAAGTGGTAGAGTACTAATCTTGAACATGACGCTCAAGGACAGCACCTATGCCCTGAGTTCAAGCCCTAGGCAAAAAGAGAAAGGGAAAGGAAATGGAAAGGGAGAAAGGAAAGGAAAGGAGAAAGGAAAGGAAAGGAGAAAGGAAAGGAAAGGAAGGAGCCCAAGAAGTAGGATGCTTCCATCACCCATTTTCTAGTGCCACAGCAGTCTAAAACCCTACAAGTCCTGTTGGATTATGTTATATGACAAATCTGATGGGGCCTCTAGTTCCGTTAGCTCTCATGACAGTAAACTTCCCTGGGCACAATGTACTTCTGTAGATGCATCCAAATTTAATAAATCGCAAACTGATTTGTGAAAAAAAGCAAAGCTAACAGCACTATCTGTTGGGTGTGGTGGCACACACCTGTAATCTCAGCATTCAGGAAGTTGAAGCGGAAAGGCTGGCAGTTGGAGGCAGCTTAGGCTACATAGCAAACCCCTATCTCACAATAATGACAATAAGAAGCATGGACTATTTTGTGGCATTGTTAACAAAAGCAACTCACCACAGTAGTAAACTCGCCATTGCAAACTTTTGAAGCAAAGGCGTGCTAAGGTCCTCAGGGGGGAGCAATTGTACTCTCTGACAATCTATAGACAGGGGAGCCCCCCCTGACGTGGGTGGCGCAGGGGGAATTCTAAAGGACCAGCCTCCAGGAGGCGCGCTTGCAATGCAAGTGTGATAGATACATGGAGACCCAGCCACTGGCACCATTTTCCATCTGGTTGGGTGCCATAAGCCACAGGTCTGTGTGACTGGTGTGCACAGGGCCTTCCTGGTCCCCTCACTCTCTCCCCTCCTCTCTCTGTCCTCAGGGGGAGTTGACCATGACCAGTGACATGGAAAACCTCCAGAATGCCCTCTATCTCGACATGGTGCCAGAGTCCTGGGCCAGGCGAGCCTACCCCTCCACAGCAGGCCTGGCAGCCTGGTTTCTGGACCTCCTCAGTCGCATCAAGGAGCTAGAGGTTTGGACAGGTGACTTTGCCATGCCCGCCACAGTGTGGCTGACAGGTTTCTTCAACCCCCAGTCCTTCCTGACCGCCATCATGCAGTCCATGGCCCGCAAAAATGAATGGCCCCTGGACCAGATGGCCCTGCAATGTGACGTGACAAAGAAGAGCAGGGAGGAGTTCCGGAGCCCACCTCGAGAAGGGGCCTACATCCACGGGCTCTTCATGGAGGGTGCCCGCTGGGACACACAGGTAAGGCCTCGGATGCACCAAGCGGCATCCTGGGGCAGCTGACTAAATGCACACACGCGGCATCCCATAAAGTATGACCGCCAAAAGGGAGGCTACTGTATCTTTCTTTCCTTGGGACCATTTTTATCAGCCAGGAGTTGGGTGGTACAGAGACCACTGGCTTTGCAGAGGTTAAACCTGGACTGACTGGATCTGTGTCCCTTCACTGCCATTTATCAACTCTAACCTTGGGATAGTTTTCTCTCTCCATATCTGTTCACTCCATTGTAAAATGGGAGAACGAAGTCATCATGACACCCAAGCAGGTGTCTATGAAAGACTCTTGCATAGCAGCTGGAACTTGAGGTACTGGAGCCAGCTGGGCCTGCTGTTGTATGACCTGAGCCATGATTACACCTCCCTCATCTCACCTTGGGATCTCTAGGTCGGCAGGATTCCTTCCGACTTTTCTGTCATTCTGCATCAGCCAAGAGTCACTAGGTGTCATTTAAAGTGACATTTTGAAAGGATTCCTCATTAAAGACTAATAAAAAAAATTGAGTTACCATAAGATTACAAAAGGTATTTAGCACAGAGAGGAAATGTCAAACAAGCATGGATGGTTGAGGTAATGAAATGGACAAGGATGGATAACTCTGGAGCAAGTTTATGCTTCTCATACACGAGCTAGAAAGAGTGCTTTGTCAAGTAGCCTACTTGGTGGGTGATACAAAACTCTTCCTAGAAGATAATACTAAACTAATCAGGCAAAACTGTCAGACACTCTAGGAGATCCCAGGAGGCCAGGGAAATATGCATCTAGAGATGTACGTCCTCCCAGAGTCTCAGAATGCAACTTTGTTTAGAAACAGGACCTTTGCAGACAAATGTAATTAGGTAAAATGAGCATGGACTCTTAAATCCAATAACTAGCGCCCTTCTAAGAAATCTTATGTGTATAGCCAGGAACAGTGGCTCATGACTGCAGTCTCAGCTATGCATCTGGTGCGATCTGAGGCCAGCCAGGCAAAAGGCAAAATGTGCTTGGAGGTATGACTCGTAGTAGAATGAGTTCAAATCCAGATTTACAAAAAGAAAAAATAAGCCCACCATGATCCAACTATATACCATCTACAAGAGACACTTTTGATGCAAAGAACATTAAAAAAAAATAGGTTAAAAGTAAACATGGAAAAAGATAGACAGGCCATCCAAACAGTAGTCAAAAGATAGCAAAGGAGGTGCTGGGAAGGTGGCTCCAGTGGTAGAGCGCTTGCCTTGCATGCCTGAGGCCCTGGGTTCGATTCCTCAGCACCACATAAGCAAAAAGAAAAAAGCCGGAAGTGGTGCTGTGGCTCAAGTAGTAGAATGCTAGCCTTGAGCTGAAGAGCTGAGGGACAGTGTCCAGGCCCAGAGTTCAGGCCCGGACCCAAAAAAAAAAAAAAAGATAGCAAAGGATCAATGCTGTTATCACAATTCATTTTATAAGCTATTACTGAAGAAAAGGTAGAATAGATAGGGATTTTAGAGAACAAGAGAATGTATTACCATGATCAAAAAATCCAGCCACCAAGATGCATAATAGTTATAAGCATGCATGTACTCAACAAGAGCCCCTAAAATACAGGAATAAAAACTAACAGAATTGAACCAACTGAACCATAATAATTGGAGCTGCTAATCCCTTAGTATTCATAGTGACTATTAGTGGTTGCAGAGCTTGCTTAGGGATAGATGAGAATGGTCTGGAATTAGAGAGTGACAACAATTGTATGACTTTGTGAACATATGAAAATGCACAGGGCTGTATCCTTCAAAAGAGTTGGTTTTGTGAGGGCAAAGTCTGCCCTGCTCCTACGCCTGATTCAATTCTGAGGACAAGGGATCCCATTGCTTATTTCTGTGACAATGCCTTATACCAGCCTGTAAAAAGAACCAAATTCTGTCTGCAAGAGGCTCAGAGTCTCATGGACACAGGTGAGAAATTTGTGAATCACTCTGGATCAGCATTTCTCAAAGTATGTTCCATAAAACACTTATTACCACATGAAGGGTGCCCTGTGGTCAACTCAATTTGGAAAACACCAGGTTGAACAATTACCCTGTTTGCTTCAAACTGCTGATAAAGCTTCAAATACAAAGTATGAGAAGCACCATTTGATTTTCCAGTTTAACTTGGCCAGACAATCTCTTGTCCAGAGAGCATTTCTCAGGACAAAAAAAAAAAAAAATTAGCTAACTAGACAGTGACCTGAGACAACTCTATTGAGACATGTTCTAAAACCACAGGGAGGCCCCATCTAAAAAGCTACAAACTGGTCACGACTAAGAGAGAATGCTGTCGCTCTGTTCAAAAAAGTGGAAATGCTTTCAAGATGGATGAAATTGCTATGAAACTCAAAAGAAGCAGAATCAGGACATAACCAAAGCCTTAAAACCTAAAGCACTGGCTGGAAATAACGGCCTTCATTCTCTTTAACTGCTCAGCACCTAGCCACTTGTCTGTCAGATGTATTCTTACAAAAATGAATGAATAAAACTTGTTGACAGTCAAGCTCCAAAGGGAGTAGTATGTACACAGTAAATAAAAAGCTTTCCAAGATCCACATCGGGAAGTGATTTAAAGCCAGTTGTGATGGCACATGCCTAGAATCCCAGCTCTTGATCTCAACTTTTAATCTGAGCTACATATCTTATCTCAAAAAAAAAAAAAGATGATTTAGCTGAAAAGACAGAAATGTGATCCCATGTGTGAGATGCCATCCAGGGTGGGTGGTGAGCACCCTGGGGGAGACAGGCAGAGATGCACCCAGGACATTCTCAGTCTCTCCTCTCTCCCATCTTCTGACCAGAGGATGGCTGGCTGTGCCCTGGGTCTTATCAAAATGCTCTTCCTGTTCTTCTCATCATCAGGCTGGGATCATTACAGAGGCCAAACTGAAGGACCTGACACCCCCCATGCCTGTGATGTTCCTCAAGGCCATCCCTGCTGATAAGCAAGATTGCCGTGGGGTTTATTCCTGCCCTGTGTACAAGACTTGTCAGCGGGGACCCACCCACGTGTGGACTTTCAATCTGAAGACAAAGGAAAACCCATCCAAGTGGGTTCTTGCTGGCGTGGCCTTGCTTCTGCAGATTTAGCTGCCTGACGAGCTCCTGAGATAACAACAGAGAGAGAGATTGGCCAGATGCTGGACACTGGCTGATGACCCCAGACACTTAGAAAACACTATCAGAAATCATGAGCACTCAACTGCTAAAGAATTCCTTTAGGGAGCTCCACTGGAGTGGGATACCTCAGTAAGGCTGAGCCAGCCCACACTGTGGCAGGGAATCTTATAGCACCAAATGTTTCCAAATAAAGTGATTTTACTCTTCAACTGGTCCAGGCTTTGTGAGCGGTTGACTCATAAATAATCACCAGCCCTGACCCTGTTATACAGAACTACCCTCAGTGTCTAGCTCCCAGGAACACAGGCTCATCAGCTTCATGTATGTATGAATCAGTCTCCACCTTTAGGCAGCTGCTGCCGGGCCGGCTGCATTCACTATGACTGTAAAGGTAACGTTACTCTTCATGAGGAGTCACCAAAACTGTTCTGAAAAAAGCCAGACCATACTTGAGGCTTGCAGGCTCTATTCATCTGTAGCTCTAAGTCTAGATGATAAGTAAATATGGGTATGGTTATATTTCAATAAATGCTATTTAACAATACAAGCGATAAACCCCATTTTGCTTGTCTGTGGTGGAGGCCAGGGTAGTCTATATATGTCATTACTCACGAGTTCACACACAGAATCAATTCTTTTACCTAACCATATGTGCTGAGGATACAGGAGCCTGCTTCCTACTCTGGACATCAATGAAGAGGAGCCTTAGGAGAAACCCTGAGCCAAAAGCCTTTTAATCTAAAAGATTTCCATATTTCCTTCCATGAAACCAATATCCACTGGAAATTCAAAGGGCTCTTCAGTTGTGATGAGATTTAGAGAGCCCCTGAAGCGATCTATTTGGTAAGAAAAATCTGGAAGGGTCTAGCAGTGCTTCTGAGATCATTATTCCCTCATATCCTTGCAGAGACTTAATTTTGGGATTGATTAATATTCACATCAGTAATTCTTAAACTACAGCAGGCACTGGAATTCCCTAGAGGGCTTAAGTCAAAAAATTGCTGAGTCCCACCCTACAGAACCTCTGATTCAGGAAGTCTAACAAAATGCCATCACTGCTAGTTTGGAGGCCACTTTGGGAATCCAATGTAAACATCTAATCCCATCCCCTATAAATCTCTACTAGGCAGAATACAGAATTCCATGCCAATTCTGCCACCATCTTACCTTCTTGGTTCTTTCAGGCCCTGTATCTGCCCTCAGTGGGACTTTAATTATCTCTCTGCTATCTAAAGGGGAGTTAACAAATGTCTCCTGGAATCTGGGGACTCCAACCGAAGTCTGTGAAAATCTTGTGGTTGCCTGTGCTGGTTCTATGGTTTCAGAGGGCTGGGGTTCAGCTCAGTGGCAGAGCACATGTGTAGCATGTGTAAGGCTCTGGGTTTGATTCCCCAGCCCTGCAAGAGAAAAGAAACAAATGAAACCAAACAAGAGGACCAAGGTTGTTGTAGATAGCAAAACTCTTTGAGACATGGAACTTTTGAAGACAAGGACAACTGGATGGACAGGTTAGATATATATGTTAATAAGCCTCTAGACAGTACTAAAAACTAAATCAATACTATGGATTTTTCCCTAACACCTACTGGCAAAAGAAGATATTAAAGATAATTTTAAGCATAGAGTACTCTGGCAAAAAGTCAAAGCCCAAGTAGCATGCCAGGAGAAAGGAGGGAAGTGGGAGGCATGCCATCAAGTGGCAAGGAGGCCTAGCAGGGCTGACCTGAGAGGAGGTGTGGCTACACTGGCCACACTCACCACCCATGTCCAGCACTAGGAAGCACTGTTCAGTTACTGCACTGTTAGGTATACACTGGACAGTTTTCCCTAGGCTCATCCTGGGACTCAACTACCATACAGGGTCCTCTAGGTAAACAATGTGCATTGAGTTATAGTCAATGCATGGTGAACACATCAGACATGAATAAGACAGGAAGTGGTTTGACTCAATTCATTGCAAACAAGGGACAGTTGAGGTTATTTTTCCACCCACATGACCCAAGAGCACGCATGTGGCCATGGACCCTCCATGCCTCCCCTTTTATAGCAGCCCTGCTCTAGAACCCCAGTTCTTAGGGGCTGATCCAGGTTCTCTGGGTGAGCAGCCACTCCACTGAAATTCTCCCCAACAAGCACCTCCAAAAACTAAATCAGTGAGAGGTTTTGTCCCAAGGAATCCAAAAGAAGAGATAAAACATAAAGACTATTCTTTCCCCTGATGCAAAAGGAAGAAACTAAACCACCATGAAATCCAGTCCAGAGGCCAACAGTGTATCTTCAAGTCCAAATTCATGTCCAGGTTGTTCCTGTGCAATCCACGAAAAATGGAGCAGGCTGTCCCCCAGGGACAGAATGTACGCAGATGGAGCTGGGATGTGACTACTGGAAAGGCCTCTTCCTTAAGTGGGAGCTCTGATGTTTGTCAAGGCTGGAGCTCCAGCTGAAACTTTTGCCACAGTGGGAGCATTTATAAGGTTTCTCTCCTGTATGAACCCTTTGATGTCTAGTAAAGTTTGACCTCTGAATAAAGCTTTTCTCACAGATGGGACATTTATAGGGTTTCTTCCCTGTGTGGATTTTCTCATGGTGGCGCAAACCAGAGAAGTCACTGAAGCCTTTCCCACAGTAATCACACTTACAGGGCTTCTCCCCGGTGTGAGTTCTCTGATGTTTCACAAAGTCTGAGCTCCGCAGAAAAGCTTTTTTGCAGATGGGGCACTGAAAGTATGTCTCACCAGTATGGGTTCTTTGGTGAAAAACCAGCTGCGAATTCCTGTAAAAGGTCTTCCCACACTCCCTGCAGGTGGGGAGCTTTGGGGCCAGGGGGGCTCTCAGTTGCTCCTTCTGCGAGGCCTCTTTCTTCTCCTCCAGCCATAGGGCAGACAGCTCACCTGGAGGGGGAGGCAGGTAATGACCTAGTTGTTTCCCAGAACTCCTTGCGTGTGGAGAAATCTGTCCTCCTGACCCCTCACCCTGGAGGTTTTCTGGAGCCTCAGGGAGGCGCTCTCCTTCCACAAAGCATCCTGGCATATCCTCCTCACTAAAGAAGCCCCTGAGTGCCGCCTGGGGAGGGGCCTCCCCAGAAGCCTGACAGGGGCCTTCCAGAGCTTCCGGGGCCCTGTGATCTGCCAGGTTCAGGATCTCTTTGTCATTCTCTTGCCTTTCCCCTGAAAAGAGAAAGAAAAGTTTGAAATGGCTTCATGAATGCTATATAGTTGTCTATCTCATATTCAGTGATGGGGTCATCATAAAGTATCTTTTCTCTTTACCAAGAGATCATCTACGAGTGAGGAAGGAAAGCATAGAGCCTGAGCCCTTTGGACTCAGTTGCTCTGTGCTGGGTTTAAGGTTAAGAAGGCCATCTCTGGCGCTGAGAATTTCTGATCAGTGCAAGATGGCTCGCAGCAGGCTTCTCTGAGCCCTCCAGGAATAGGACACATAAGTATAACATTTTTAAATGATTGAGTTTTATCTCATTGTAAGTAAAAGATAAACAATCATGCTGAAGAATTTGGAGGAAGAAAAGATTAAAAGGACTGGAGGTATGGCTCAAGCAGGAGACTGCCTCCCTGGCAAGCCCAAAGCCTGGAGTTCAAACCTCAGTATCACCAAAAGAAAAATCAACCTCAACCATACTACTCAGGCAAGTCTAAGCACAGACATCCTTCCGGAGGTTTTCATGTAACCTGTACATATGCATAGATTGCTATTTTCAGATATAATTGATGCATTATATATAGTTCTGTATCTGGCTATGTATGTAGGTGGTGATTTTGGTCAGTGTAACATGGATTCTCCCTTTCACAAGTAACTTAAAAAATTAATGAAATTCACTAATGTGTCCTTTCACTGTAGGTGCAAGGCACTGGATGGAGCTGCAGAGTGAAAGTGAATCCTCTAGCACTCACTTAAATGCACATTTACATGTTTTTCTATCATCCTTCCATCTATCCATCCAGCCATAAATGAGACCAGAGACGGCTGTGTTACCCAGACTGGCTCCAAACTCCTAAGCTCAAGTGATCCTCCTCTCAGCCTCCCAAGTAGCTTACACTACAAACAAGGGCCATTTTCACAGCTATCTGTGCTTTATTAACTCACATAAACAGTTAAGGTTTTCCTTTTTTTCATGACTACTACTTAATGATGCATATAATAAATATATTTTTATTTTGGCTGTAAGATTTATTTTTCAACTTTAAACATTACTTGATCCTTAGATCTGAAGAGACTATTTACTGCCAGGTGTGGTGGCACGTGCCTGCGATACCTGGAATAGCCACATGCCTGCAGCACTTGGGAGGCTGACACTGGAAGTTCATGTCTGAGCCAGCCTAGGCTACATAGTAAGATCTTGTCTCCAAAATAAGCATATATCCTTAAATGAATACATAATTACTGAATGCTTTTCAAATATATGCTATTTAAATGGGTGAAAATGGTTTTACGTTGTTTTGGTTTCTTTTTTCCTTTTTCTCTTTTTTTTTTTTTTTTTTTTTTTTGGGGGGGGGGGGCATGCCAGGCCTAAGGATTGAACACTGCACTTGGGTGCTGTCCCTGAGCTTTATGGCTCAATGCTACCACTGAGCCTCAGCTTCACTTCCCACCTTTGGTAGTCTAATTGGAGATAAGAATCTCCTGGACTTTCCTGCCTGGGCTAGCTTCAAACTGCAATCTTCAGATCTCAGCCTCCTGAGTAGCTAGAATTATAGGTGTGAGCCAACAATGCCTGGCTATTTTAAATTTTAATTCCTGTTATAAAAGGATGGATCTTTTTTCCACATTTATGAGCTACTTCTTATACTCCAAGACTTCTGTACTGGAAAGCTACTTGTTCTTATCAACTTACTTTCATTTCTTCAATTAGGAAAATTAGGACTGGAGGTTTGGTGGAAGTGACAGGCCCTGAGTTCAGACCTACTAATAATACTGAATATTACTTACTATCATGTTCATGAAAAACATTTTTCACTATTTAATTCTGCTTGTTTTAATGTTTGGGGTTACTTTTATGTAAAGAAATAACTGAGGTTTTACTTTACAGACCTACTCAAATATAGTAATCCTTTCCTTAATGTTCTCATACTTCACCAGGCACTGTGCAAATATCTCATTCATTTTTTTTCTTTACATTTTATTTTTTTCCAATTCGTTTGGCATATGACACAAATAAGAAATAAGCCAACCCTTCCCTCTTCGCCCACAGTATCTTTTCTCCTAGCTCTGTTCACTGAGAGTGGCTCAGGCCCATGTGTATGGCATCTTTCCTCAGCATATGCTAGCTCTTACACAGACCACATCTCTTCCTACACGCTCCTTTTTCTGTTCCATTGATTTTTTCCCATCAATTTCTATATCATGCTCATGATATTTTAATTATCTTAACCTTATATTTGTTAGATCTATCTAGGAGAACAGCCTCTCCCCCCTTCCTCTTCCTGAAAGACAACATATAGCCTTACCAAAAATCACCTGCCTGAAACCAATAATTACCTGACTGTCAGCAAAGAACCCCAGACTCTGAGGTCACTTTCTCATCCACCGAGGTCCTTCCTGAACTGCCCCAGTCACATCTCCTTCAGACAGTGAGAGGTTACCCAGGCTCTGAGATCACTTCCACATCCACTGTGGTCACAATTCCCCACCTTTCCCTATATAATCCCCCTCAACCACAAGCTCCCTCCTCTTTTTCTCTTTTCTCTCTGCACATCTCCATCTCATTCAGCTGGCAGTCTGCTCTTCCCCCAATAAACTCTTTACTGCCTGAACCATGTGGCGGGTCCCTTCCTGCAAACCTTACAATATTTACAACACATTTGATATTTCTATATCATTCATAAAACATTTTTCTTTCAAACTTTTTTTTGCTATTCTTGCCTGTTATTTTTCTCTCTCTTAAAATCATTGTGCCAACTATTCATAATAGTCAAGTTATGGAAACAGCCTGGATGCCCAACAATAGATAAGTGGCTCAAGAAAACGTGGTACCTATACACAGTGGAATTGTACTCATCCATTTAAAAGAATAATACAATGTCATTTGCAGGGAAATGGATGGACCTAGAACAAATCAAGTTAAGTGAGGTAAGCCAAGCTCAGAGAGACAAATGGCACAAGTTTTCTCTCATATATGGAAGCTAGATCTAAAACACAACTAAACATGATCAATCACATAGGGCTTTATGTATTTATACACAAACAAACAACTGACTAAAGGGGAGTACAAAAGGGGAGGAATCCAAAAACATAACTCCCCTGGAACAGCTAACGTTCTAGTTATCAAAATGAATTCCAACTAAAGTACTATTTATCAAAACGAATTCTAAGAAATGGAAACATAGGCTATTTTTTAATGTTGTTTTCTTTTTTGTAGGGTAGGAAATGCAGGAGCACAGAAATGGAGGGAAGAAAGGTGCAGTCATTGTATTCAATATACACTATGTAGGAAGGGGAAAATGCGGCAAAGGAAGAGAAGGGGTGAAAATGCCCAAGAAGCATTGGACTCATAACCTGGCTTAGGAAATTATTACCATTTTGTACAGCTTCTTAAAATAACAATAAAAAATACCATTATACCAAGTAATTTTTAATCACTTGGGATTTTGGTGATAAGTGTGAGGATATGGCATTCTGAAGGTGACCTATGCTCGTCTGCTTTTGCTATGAGCTCTTCTTCCACAGCATCTCCATTCCCTTGTGTATTTTCAATGTAATTTTATTGTTACTATCAAGGTGTTGTACAAAGGTGTTATCATTTCATAATTCAGTAATATGTACATTTCTCTTTTGGACAGCACCACCCTTTCCTTTGCTTTCCCCCAGTTCTCTTGTCTTTCTGCCCTAGATCTGACTATAGATCTAGAAGTCTGGCTAATTGTCATATTTCCTAGAACCATTACTTTCCAGTCATGCTCCTGTATCTCCACTTTAGGCCAGTTCCCCTTTCCTGGGCCTCTTGCATTAACTCCACACAGGCTTCTCTCCACCAACTCTCCCCTTCCTGTCTGTCCTATACATCACTACCAAATTAATCTCCCCAAAATTGCTTTCACATATCCCCCCAAGAACCCTGAAGTGTATCTCTTTGGGTATCAAGGTAGCCTAGCCTTAGAGACTCTCCACAATCTGTTTCAAGGAAGAATCTAATGGAGCCATGTCAGCATGTAGGATGAGGGAAAAGAGAAAAGAAAAGAAGGATGAGATTAAAATCAAAACAGAATGAGTTCAAACAGAATGGCCTAAATACCAAACACAAAATTCTACTTACACAAGGTACATAAGAAAAAAAAAAAAAAACTCTTGACTTTTCTGCTCAATTTTGCTATGAACTTAAAAATATTCTAAAAATAATCAAGAAAAAAATCTTACTCACTGGCCATGAAGTGCACGTTGAAAAGTATTCCTCCAAAGGAATCTGTGAAATTGTATCATGATAAACATATTGCTTTAAATTAAAATCATGGCTGGGGTAAAACTCAGCAATAGGCCCCAGGTTCGACCCACAGCACCAAAAGATAAATTTAAAAAAGTTTATATGTCTCTGTTGATGATTGCTGATATTACTATGCAAAATGTTAGCAAAGGATAACCAATTAATTATACTCCACTGGGGAATGTTATAAATATGCTCTCCAAGAACCACTAGAGTCATAGTGATAGACATGAAAATAAACAATCAGCAATCTAAAATTTACTTTTGCAGAAGGGTACATCATCAGCCAAAAATCTTGCAGCAGGCCTATTGCAGCAGGCCCTGCCCCTTTGCTTAGATTGGTTAAGCTCAGGTTCACAATCTGCCCCTGATTCCCTGATTGGCCGCTTTGAGTAGGATAAAATGAATTTATATAAGGTGACTTGGAAGTGGCACTGTGGCTCAAGTGGTAGAGTGCTAGCCTTGAGCTGAAGAGTGTAGGGACAGCACCCAGGCCCAGAGTTCAGGCCCCATGACTGACCAAAAAAATAAATTTACAAAAATAAGGTGACTTTGAAATGGGTACCTAGGTAATCTCAAAATATAGCCACAACCTCTGTTATCTGTAGAGCAGTCTGAGGTGTGTCTTAATCCTAACTGGAAAAGAAACCAGTTTAAAACAAAACCTTATGTTTCAAAAACCCTTCCTTATCACAAAACAATTCATCTTTTCCTAAATAAGAGGCAATCCTCCTGGCAGAAGCAGGGACTTTCAAGCAACACACTTCCATAGAAAAGACACTTTTTCTCACAGGAGAAAAATTGTGCTCGTCACACAATTCCCATCCTTGGTATCTTTTGTTCTTCCTTTTCTTCCTCCAAGGCTCCAGAACTTACGGTGTGTGTAAAAATATATGTGTGCATGTGTGTATAGTTTTACAGCTAAGCTTTACACACATGCTTCAGAAAAGAGTATAGAAAGCAAAGGGTAGCTGCCTATTTACAACAAAGTAAGTTCAAATTTCTTCTTTCTCAACCTTAAGATATAATTTAGCTGAAGTGTTTGTTGATGCTGCTGTTTAACAAACATTAGGGCCATACCAATTAAATAAAACATGTTTTCATGTTTATTTTGCCAACCGTGGAAGGCTATTACTATCACCAGGGTGAGGAAAGTCTAGTTACTCTGAACTTTCTCACTAGCAAAGGTTATTACATAAATCTTTATATAAAGGAATTCTAACTGTTACCTGCATTGGCCTCTATCTATGGCAATCTTAATTCTAATTCTTTCTAAGAAGGAAATGTACCAAAACAGACAAGACTGAAGACAGCTGATCAAATGTGTGGCCTTCTTTTAACAATTAAACACATGTGCTAACATGTACTTAACATCTCCTAGGACAAGTATATTCATTCACCTGTGGTACTCAAGTAAGACCAGCTTAGGCATGGCTGGCTGCAACCAAGGTAATAAAAGCAAGTCTTAATACCTTGTTCACCAACTCCAGTTTAATAAGAGGAAGTAAAAAGAAACTGGAGTCCCACAATCAATCACTGACCTGCACAGGTGAGTCTTGCAATCTTCTCACTAATATGGGGGGGCAATCCTGTCAGGTCTTTCCCAAGCTCTGTTGAATTAGGCAGGTTGGGTTTGGAGGTGGAAACACCTGCCATAGAGAGGAAGAAGTGTGTGGGTCTGGATGAATGAGGAAGTCAAGAGCTGAAGCTGTGTCTTTCAAAGGAACACCCTAAGCATGAAGGGAATTTTGAAGGCTCTGTAGTCCACTTGAGAAAACTCACCTGAGAATAGTATGGAGAGCATGAAAGACACTGGTACTTGCAAGCTAACTAGTGCACATGGCAAAAGCTCTAACAACCCGAGTCTGGACAGAGACTCTGTAGACCACTGACAGATAGGTGCAAGGATCAGGACAAGGAACTGACCAGTGGTTATTTTGAGGCAGTGTGATTTAATAGGAAAGAACATGAGCTCACTTAACTTTCATCATCCTTAAAAGAAAAATACCACCTCTCATTTTATAAAGATTTACTGCAGCACATTCAACCTGCCTGTAACAAAAGAAACTTGCAATATGAGAAGTTCTGTAGCTCTGCTATCTGTAATTCACCCTAGTTCCCAACTGTTTCTCTAATGACTTTCTTTACCCTCAAACCCTGAAGTTGAGCAGAGGAAGCATAGAAAATGCCTTCCAGTTTTTCCAACTTACTCTAGCAAGCTAGCCTTACCTCCTGAGACCATTTTCCCATAGGTCTCCAGCATGAGATCCCAGTATTGCTCCTTTTGAGTGGAATCCAGATGCCTCCACTGATCCTGGAAAGAATATAAGAATGTCACGTCTGTGAAGGTGTCTGAACCTGACTTCTGGGCCACAGGAAAGCTGAGAAGAAAGGGATATGCTGCAGGACCTTGGCCATCAGATGATCTGAGAATTCACAGGAGCCTGGACCAGGGAACAAAGAGGCCGAGGGGAAAATGACAGGTCCTTACAACAGTATTTCTTGCCATGGTTAGAGAACGTTTAGGTTTTGTGTTTTGTAAAGTCATACGCATTTTAGAGTAGAGAACAAACAGTAGGTTGAATTCTTTTTTATAGTGTTCCCTGTTTTAAAACTCTTTAGGGGCTTGTATTATGTGTTTGTGAATAATAGGAAGCTGATGCTCACACTATGTAATTACAATTTGGGAACTCAATAAAGCAAAGAAACTAAAATTGGTGGCTTTGAGAAAGGACAGATGTTGCAGCCATACATATCTGGACTCTGGACCAGTTAAAGTGGTTTTAGTCCCACATAGGGAAGTAAAAATGCCACAATATCCACAAAGAAAGCCTTCTTACAAAAGTACAGACTGAAGATCCAAAACTGAGAATGCTGCCTAGCTGGAATCTGCTCTTCTCAATTCAAAGTTTAATCTCCCCAGCAAGAAGCTGGCCACTAGAAACTGACTGGTTAGTGGCCTATCCTTTGGAGTCAGACAGACTGGGTTCCAAATGCCTATTGGCCACTTTCTAGCTGTGTGATCTTAAGCAAGCTTGTGACATCTCGGTGGTCACTTAGTGAGAGCACTAGGGTCTAAAGACTGTCAGGAGATTTGAAAGCAACAAGGTTAAGTGTCATGTTTTCACAGCACACTGCATGCTTCATTCCTAGCATCCACACATTAAATATTTACATGTGCATGTGCATATGTGTATACACTGACAAGTATTTGATGAACTGTTGCCACTACTAGCATTAATTTCTCTGAGAAAGGTGCTCTGCTATTAACTTTCACTGTACTTCTTAAGTCCCTAAGACCCTGTTCACAATACTAGAGATATTTAATTTATGTCATCAGGGTAAAATAGAACAACCCTTGGCTAACAAGTCCTTGGTAGAATATAGGCAGGCAGGCAGGCAGGCAGGCAGGCAGGCAGGCAGGCAGGCAGGCAGGCAGGCAGGCAGGCAGGCAGGCAGGCAGACAGACAGACAGACAGACAGACAGACAGACAGACAGATAGCTAAATATAATTACTATCATAGGCAGTCTCCTAGATCCATGCCAAGGCCTTGTGGAGACAATTAAGGGACTCTGCACCGTTTCCAGGACCCCCAAGTTGATAAACTGGTTTATTTACTTTATATTATTGCTTTTAAGTAGTTGTACAAGGAGTTGCCATTTAACAAAGCAGTTTATAAATGGAATATGTATCACTCCTTTCAACATTCTCACCCATCCCTTCCTTACTACTCCTTCCCTCATGATACAGTTGTTTATATCATAAATAGCCTGGTACTGGGAACAGATAAGGAGGGCATTTTGGAAGTCATCTTCCTACTACATACAACACCCTGCTCAGGGAAGACATTTCCAGCCCTGACTCAGTGCTCTCCCGGCAGCACATCTAAAGATCGTGGAAATGGCTCAAGGAGAGAAATGTCAAAAATACTGAATTATCAGATGCTGAAAGAAAGAAAGGAAGAAGAAAAAGAAGAGGAGGAAAAGGAGAAAGGATAGAGGAGGAAGGAGATACTGGATCTTTTAGTGTGGAAAAGGACTGGTAGCTGAAACATTATCCCAATAAACATTATATATACCAACTGTTAACTAAAACCATATTTTGAAAATGACTTTTAATGAAAAATATTTATTTCTGTCAGTCCTGGGGCTTGAACTCAGGGCCTGAGCACTGTCCCTGAGCTTCTTTTGCTCAAGGCTGGCACTACCACTTGAGCCACAGCACCACTTCTGGCTTTCTCTATTTATGTGGTACTGAGGAATCAAACTCAGGGCTACATGCATGCTAGGCAAGTATTCTACCACTAAGCCACATTCCCAGCCCCTAAACGTTTAATTTTTAAAGTATAAATTGCTAGTGGTTTATTCTGCTAGTGTCCTATGAATGGGCTATTTAAATAAGTATCTGCAAAGAACCAACCTGGCAAATACTGATGAACACTGGAGTCCTCCAACCTTGGGGTCAGAACATACAGATTCTGACTTCAGAGGCAGCAGAAGAAAAGTCTGGCAACTGCAGATAGGCTGCCTAGCCTGGGCCCAGGGCCTATCCATGGGTACCAGCACAGTCACTACCAAAATAGTCCAAGGAACCTAAATCCCTAATCACAAACAGCTCATTCTAAAGAACAAAAAAGTTGCTTCAGGAGTCTCTGAACAGAATATCCCCAGTTTAAGGCCACACTCAAAAGACTTCCAAGAAGCCAGGCACAGTGGCTCAAGTCTATGATCCTAGCTACTCTGGAGATGGAAGGTGGACTAGTGGATGGACATGGTGCTATCCATGGGTGTCTGCTGAAGTACAGTGACTGGGTACAGTGGGCACATGCCTGTCATCCCAATGACAAAGGGAAGTAAAATAGAAGGATCATATCCTGGGCCAGCCTGACAATAAAATAAAATGAGACCCTAACTTGAAAATAACTAACATTGGCAGGATGGTTCAAATGGTAGAGTATCTACTTATCAAGCAAAAGGTCTTGGAATCAAACCCTAGTATTGCTGCTAATACCAACAACAACTTAGTTCTAAAAAATTAGAAAAGTTTGGACACAAGCCCTACTTGAGACACAACACAAAACACCAGCGGCAGCCATCTTGCTCCTTTTTCAAATTTCCACAGAAGGAAAAGGCTTAACTTTCTATTCTGGAGGGAAGTATAAGGTTTGATATAGAAATACAGTATCTATTTTTATGTGGAAATAGCACCACCTTGTGGGCTTACAAGCTATTACTACACATGAGAAATTACTTGTACTGCTGCTTTTCCTCTACCCTTGAATGTAGTCAAGGCATGCATTCCACCCAGTGGAGGTCCATATGGGATCTAGAACTGTTAGACAGCTACAGACAGAGATGGATATATAAATGTAGATATATACACAGATAGGACATGATTCAATTGTGGGACTATTTGGAGGTCTGAGAGGAAGGGGTGGGGAACAGAGAATGAGGGGCATAAATTATATCCAAGCTTCGATGGTACAGTACTGGGTATAAGCTATCTCCCAAATATACTATGTCTATGTATGAAGATGGTAGAATGAGTCCCACTGAACAACATGAAGAGAAGATGAGGAATAGAGTGGGCTGATCTGATCAAGAATAATACATGCACGTATGGCATACCACAGTGAAGCAGGTTATACAATTAATAGATGCAAAGAAAAACTACATAAACTCAGTAAAAAATGAAAATATACAAAGAAAAGGGTAAGCATCATTTGGCAATTTTCCATCTTACATAAAATTTTGGACAATGCAAATTATTGTATGGTAATAGAAAATAGATCAATAACTGCTGAGAAAAGCATGGGGTAAAAAGCAACAAGAATGAACTAAAAAGATAAAAATGTAGCCTGGAGCCAGGGACTAGAGGCTTATAGAGGTAATCCTACCTACTCAGAAGGCTGAGATCTGCAGATGGTGGTTCAAAGCCAGCCTGGACAGGAAAGTTCATGAGACTCTTATCTCCAATTAAACACTTAAAGATCCCGAAGTGGAGTTGTGGCTCAAGTGGTAGAGCTCTGAGCACAAAAGCTCAGAGGCAGCACCCAGGCTCTGAGTTTAAGCCCCAGGATCAGCATACTTACACACAAGTAGCCTACTGCAGTAGCTTATAGCTATAATGCTGTTATTGTGGCCCACCTCGGATGTCCTCTCTACCCCCTAGCAACACTACATCCCTGTCAATCCTCCCAACTGTGACTATGCTATGTCCTGGAAGCCTGGCTCACCTTAAGAAAAGCAGAAGCTAGCTCACCTGTGGTGTTCCTGGGAGGAGCACTGCTCCCAAGTCTTGGTCTCCCAGAAGCCTGTCCTCAGGTCGTGCAGGAATCTGAGAAGTAGCTACAGCTGCAATGAGAAAAGGAAATGTTCAGAATCCAGATGTCTTCGTTAACCACTCCCCAGAGAGCAAAGAGCAAACTCTTCAAAAACACTCTGTTCCACTGCCCGAATTTTCAGGCTTGTGTTTAATTCCTCCCCAACTCCAATCCTCTCCAAACTTCCAGTTGCATCCATGTCTGTCCTACCTCCTTGCTCAGGACCTCATATCCAAGTGGTCCGGACCAGTATCAAAGTGGTTTAAAATTCAAAGTCTCCAAGTCAAAATAGTTCTTCCCTGTCTCCAAACACTGTATTATTTCATTTCACACTCAGGCCTGAGCCCTACCCCCAAACTTCTCCAAGAGAGTGCCTGCCCCTCACCTAGCTCTGGTTCCTCCTTCACCGTGTGGCCAAGCAGCTCCCCAGGATCCAAGGGTGAACTCTCAAGGCCCTGCTCCTGATGTTCCACTTCTGGGAGGGGCTCCGCATCCCAGCTTGGAGATGCCTTCTTCTCTGATAAGATTTCTTGCCCTAGAACTTGAATGCTGATCTAGAGACAGGATAGTACTTGTTATTGAAGCATACACATTCAGGATATGGAGCTATCTTTTTTAAATGGATGAAGCAATCTTTATAGCCATGGAAGAAAGAGAAAAGATCCAAGAACTAGTGAGAGAAATATCCCAAAAGACACAAAAAAATGAGGACTGAACTAGGCCTGATACACCCTCAAAACTTACCAGCAATACTGAATTCTATTCGACAGTATAAACATTTCAAAGTCAGAATGGGATGACTTTCTTTAATCCCAATGGCTATAAAGTATTAAGAGTCAGAAAGGACTTTAGAATTAGAAGAACTATATATAGAGCAATCCAGATTTGGTACAAGCCACATATATTTGATCTTTGTCCTCAGTTTTTGCCACAGAGCTCCCAGAATGTCCTGAGTGATAAGAGTGAAAGAATGCATATACATTTGTCTAATTTGGGGAGGAAAGGGGCATAACAAAACGCTGAAACAAGGACACTAGATGACCCATTGCAACAATGATACCCACAAGGCAATATATTGGAAATGAACTTTACAACTTTGGGGTGGGGAGTAGGGAGGAGTGAAGGAGGTGGGGGAGAGAAGGGCTAGTGGGAGAACAACAAAGGAGGGGATAACAATGCTCAACAAGAAAGGAACTCACTACCTTACTCATGTAACTGAAACCTCTCTGTACAGCATCTTTACAATAAAATAAAAATTTAAAAAAAAAGTGAAAGAAGTGCCAGGTGCCAGTGTCTCACGCCTGTAACCCTAGCTACCCAGGAGGCTGAAATCTAAGGACTGAGGTTTAAAGCCAGCCCCGGCAGGAAAGTCCATGAAACTCTCATCTCCAATAAACCACCAGAAAATCCGAAGTGGCTCTGTGGCTCAAGTGGTAGAGTGCTAGCCTCGAGCTGAAGAGCTGAGGGACAGTGCCCAGGCCAAGAGTTCAAGCCAAACGACTGACAAAAAATAAAAGAGTGAAAGAAGTATTTATTACTCATAATAAAGACTCTCCATTCAGACCTGCTCTATGCTAATGAGGTTAACTCGAGGTGGGCTCCCAGACAGCTTCAGGAAGCTGTGGTAGGAGGAGCCAATGTACAAGTGGCTCAGGCCTATAATCCTAGCTACTCAGGAGCCTGAGGATCTTGGTCCAAAGCTAGCCTGGGAAGTCAAATCTGTGAGTCTATTTCTAATTAACCAATAAAAAGCCACAATGGGAGGCATGGCTCAAATGCTAGAGCACCAGCTGTAAACAAAAGAGCTGAGTAAGAGCACCATGGTCTGACTTCAAGCCCAAATACTAACTTTAAAAAAGGCAGGGGCAGGGAAGGCAGGCATGGTAGCACATGCCTGCATCCCAGCTACACAGGAGGCAGAGGTAGGTGGGTCATGGTCCATGGTTGGCCCAGGGTAAAAGCACAAGATCCTGAAAAATAATGAAAAAGCAGTAAGGGCTGGAGGCATGACTCAAGTAGTAGAGTACTTGCCAACAAATACAAAGCCCTGAGCTCAAAAGCCCAGGACCTCCAGGGGCAGTGTGTGGGGTGGGGGGTAAGAAGCAGTCCTGGAACTTTCAGTCCGCCCTATCCCCAACACTGGGAATGGGAGAAGGGTTAGACAATTTCAATCAATAATCTAATCAAGATGCCAAAACAGTGAAACCCCCACCCCCAAAAACACCCTTAAATGATGTTTTCAGGAGTATCCAGGCTAATCATGTCATCAAGATATAAGTGGTGGGATGGAAAGGTGTCTCAGTGGTAGAGCGCTTGCCTTGTATGCATGAGGCCCTGGGTTCGATTCCTCAGCACCACATAAGCAAAAAGAAAAAAGCCAGAAGTGGCGCTGTGGCTCAAGTGGTAGAGTGCTAGCCTTGAGCTGAAGAGCTGAGGGACAGCACCCAGGCCCAGAGTTCAGGCCCCACGACCAGACGCCCCCCCCCCCAAAAAAAAGATAAAAGTAGTGTGCTGGGAGAGGACAGGGAGATACCTTTTGTGCCCCTTCCATTTTGTGTGTGGGAGTTGACACTTTGCACTCACCTGACAACATAAGAAAAGTACTTTCCTGAGCTCTGTAATCATTCTAATTACTGAATCCAAAAGAAACTGGGAACCCCCAGTCAGAAGGGCATCTGACCCTAGACACACACAACCAGCCTGGGAAAGGGAAGTAGTGCTGTGTGCCTGAGCCATGAACATGTAGGGTCTGTGCTGACTGCAGAGCATTAGTATCAGAATTAAACTGAATGACTAAGCCAGGGGCTGGTGGCTCACACCTGTAAACCTAGCTGAGATTGAGATCTGAGGATCACAGCTCAAAGCCAGCCTGAATAGCAAAGTCCATGAGACTCTTATCTCCAATTAACTACCAGAAAACCAGAAGTGGTGCTGTGGCTGAAAGTGGTCGAGCGCTAGCCTTCAGTGACAAAGCTCAGGGACAATGCCCAGGCTCTAAGTTCAAGCCCCACAACCAAAAACAAAACAAAAAAAACCCTAAGTGTCTGGATGCTTGGTTTGTATTGGATAAACCGCACACTTCTGGTGCCATGAGTGACATCAGAAAGAAGATAAGCCTAGAGGTGGCCTGTGCTCATTCACCCCTACTAATCCCACCTGCTTACCCACTGCCACAGTCTCCGAGGATCGCCCTTCAAGCTCTCCACCAGGGTCACTGCCTCTTCTCCACTGCCTGGACACTGTTTGCGCACCCACATCTGGATCTCTCCAGGAAGGATGGTCAGAAATTGCTCTAACATCAGGATCTCCAGGATCTGCTCCTTGGTGTGGACCTCTGGCTGGAGCCACTGGAAACAAAGCTTCCGAAGTTGTTTCAGTGTCTCGTGGGGTCCAGACATCACCTGGTAACGAAACTGCCTGAACAACTGTCGCGCAGCCTCTGGGCTAGAGAGCTCCCCTTGAGAGGCAGCGTCTGGTCCAGAGAACAGGGAGTCTTCAGCCTGGGCCAGTGGAGGCAGCAGGCCTAGGGCCTGCCCCAGGTCAGTGGGCATCGTCTGGCTTCGCAAGGCCTCTTAGGTAAACAGCTTCCAGGGTGGATCTAAGCCTTCACAGCGATGATAAAGACGAGATGAACTCAAGTGCTGTTCAGGAGAGAAGGGCACATTCAGAAAGAACAAATGCACATACCATACTTGAGATACGCTGAAGTCAATTATGATCCTTTTGAAACTGCTCAACTCATATATTACTCCATTTTGAAGGACTGTAAATGTGAAGCTACGAAGTAAAGTACTAACCCATATCTACAGAGCTACAATCACCTGGTCTATCTGTAACATCCTCTGCTGGTCTTTAAGCATCCAGACCATGAACAAAAGTGCAATGTGCCAAGTGAAAGCATCAAATACTTCTATGTCGCACCTAGCTAACTGCAGGTTGAAAAGTAAAGCAGGACAAGGACATAATGGCCTAGGGATCTCCTCAATGGAAGAATCAGATGCTTCCATAACAGGTGAGCACATCTCCTCTGCTACATGCTCCCACCACAATGAACTATCCTTTCATAGCCCAGCCCAAAGTGACAAAGTGTCCAAATATAGAAGACAGCAAGTGAGGCTGTGAATAGGATCACAGTTAACACAAACATGTTTCAAAAGTACCAATTTTGCAGGGATTCCTAATAGTGAATCAATGGGTCAATCCATAATGTGGTGAAGAAGCTGGAAGGCATCCTTTCTCCATAACACAAAGGGCAACCATCAAAAACACACCCAACCACTTGGCATCTGGCCTAATCAAAGGTGAATACAATACCCTAGCTGCATTTCTCTTGAGGCATAAGAAATGTATTTCCCTACCACTTCTCCCAAGTATATTCATACTACGTCAGAAAAACATGCAGCCTAATATGGTGGGTCAGGCCTGTAATCTCAGAGCTCAGAAAGCTGAGAGAGAAAAATGATAAACTCAGAAGTAGTGCTGTGGCTCAAATGGTAGAGCACTAGCCTTGAGCTGAAGAGCTAAGGAAGCCCCAGAGCCCCAGAGTTCAAGCCCTACAACTGACTCAAGGTCAGCCTGGATTATATGAAAACATCCTGTCAAAAGAGAAAAAGAAAAGAAAGTTAGGAAGAAAGAAGAAAATTAAAGCAATTGTAGAGAGGAGGACTATTGGGAGATAAGAGCAAATTTTTTTCAGGGGTCCAACACAGAAAAGAATGATATAAAAATTATTAATTAATTGCATGCTTCTCATTTGGACATCATCCAAAAAAAATTAAGTGAAACCTAGACATTTGTCATTAACATCTTCATACAGCACTGAAGAGAAATATACAGAGTGCTCTGGCCCTCACAGAGTAAACTGGTAATAGAAACTAAGCTTGCAACTGGAAACCGCTACAAAACAACCATTAGAAAGAATATTGTACCCCTTGTAAAGAAATAGAAAGACCTGGAAAAAATTATGTTCAGTGAAGTCAGGTCCACAGAGAGACAAAGCATGCATATTCTACCTTATATGTGGAAGCTAGATTCAACTTGTAAGGAAATAAGCTGGGTGCTTTGCAAGTGTATACAAATTTATTAACTGAGATACAGCTGATTCAAGGGAGAACTCAGATAGTGTAATTCCCTAGAAAGGCAAAATCAAAGTTAAGCAAAATAAAACACCAGGACTCAGGAACTGGAAAGGGGTGGAGTGGGGTAAAGGGAAAAGGGGTGGATGAGTGAAGAGGAGAAGAGGGAGAAAATGTTGTCAAGAATCCAATGAATACCCTAAAAAATTAAGAAGAGCAAGGGAAGGGGTAGGGAGGGGAGGGATAGTGAAAATGTTGAAAAGGGTGACATGGATCAAGATATATATGGCAATTCCTTTGTACAAATACTTAAAGATAATAAAAGGGAGGCAGGGAGGGAGGGAGGGAAAGAGGGAGGGAGGGAGGGAGGGCGGGAGGAAGGAAGGAAGGAAGGAAGAAATAGCTGTTATAAATGACTGTAGATGTTGGGATGTCAAGTAGGAATAAAGACACCAACTCAAAAATAACTCAGCAAGGCAAAGTGTACTTCTGCAGAAGGGTGAGCCATCAGCCTCCAAATCTGGCAAGCAAACAAAAGAACAGGCAGGCTGTCCCTTTTTATCCCTAACTCAACAGGCCCCGCCCCTCTGCTCTGATTGGCCAACCTCAGGTTTACAATGTATTTACATTAAGTGACCATTAAAGACTTTTGTTTGTTTTTGGTTTGGGTTTTTGGTTTGGGGTTTTTTATTTGTTTGTTTTTGGGTTTTTTTGCCAGTCCTAGGGCTTGAACTCTGAGCTTCATATGCTCAAGGCTAGCACTCTACCACTTGAGCCACAGTGCCACTTCCTTTTTCTGTGTATGTGGTACTGAGGAATTGAACCCAGGGCTTCATGCCTGCTAAGCAAGCACTCTACCTCTAGGCCACATTCCCAGCCCTGACCATTAAAGACTTCAAGATTAACAGTAACACAAATAATCTCAAAACATACTCTAGCCCACTATTATTTCCTAGAACAATCTGAGGTATATCTTAATTATTCACACTTTCTTGTACTTTCTTGTACAATCTGAGGTGTGTGTTAATTCCTCTCCCATTTTGGGACAAAACTTACATTTCAAAACTCCTTCCCTATCCCCAAAAATTTCCTCTTTCCCTTTCTTGACTTGATATTGTCTTAGCAGAATTAACAGAGCCAAACCACTAGGCCAAAAGCAGAAACCTTCAAGCAACCCACTTTGATAGAAAAGACAGCTTTTCTCACAAAACAAACATATCAAGCATCTGTTTTCACATACCACACAACTATGCAGTTAAGAATGCAGTTCCAATGAGAAAAGAAATCAGGGAGGTAACATAATCATCCTGTCTGAGGACAATTTTCCAACCACAGTACAGAAGCCGAGGGACAGTAGAACATAAAGGTCTCACTATGAGGCCTTTCTGTGAAGCAGAGTTTGAACATGCAGCTGTTGATACAGCTGGAAAGTGGAGAATGAGGCAGAAAGGGAACTGTGAGAAGGGGATCTGATGTCAACAGGCGGTGTCTCCTATAAAGCCTGGCACAAGGCTTGCACGGCATGTTAGCAGGAGGAAACTAGAATGTTTAACCAAGAGGGATTCAAGAGTAAAACAACTGTCAAAATGGCTCATGCCTGTTATCCTAGCTACTCAAGAGGCTGAGGATTATAGTTCAAAGCCAGCCAGGGCAGAAAAGTCCACAAGACATCACCAGTTAGACACCAAAAGGCCAGTAGCAGAGTTGCGGCTCAAATGGTAGAGGGCCAGCCTTGAGCACAAAAGAAGAATGAGAGCTTGAGGATCTGAATTAAAGCCCCCCCCAGAAAAACATAAGTAAAATGCGGTTAAGGAGGGACATTATAGACTTTTTTTTAACCACCCAGACCGAAAAGACTTTCAAATACTCAAGGGGTCCTGAGACAGGAAGATTACATGCCAGGAATGGCAGGCCTACACCTGCCCTTACACCTAAATGAAGCTTCAGTAAGATTCACAAATGAGACCTGTCTACGTCTTTAGTTTTATCAACTTAAATGTGAACTTGGGGAACATGATCAACTTTCCAAAGATCTGGTCTATCAAAGTACAAAACGAGGTCTACGTAATTTGAAAGGGATCAGTCAGTTAAGTAAACTACAAAAAAAAAAAAAAAACCACCAATAATCTTCAGAGGAAGGTAATTAGGTCTGTGGCATCACTATGTGTTATCTACAATATCCAGAATGCAATCCAAATTACTAGACACATAAACAAAAGGCAATACTGGAATTTGAACTCAGGACCTCACACTTGCTAGGCAGGCATTGTACCACAGGAATTATACCACTGAGCCACACCTGCAGGAAAAAAAACATATATATATATATGCATTATTCCATTAATTAAATGATTTTGACTCTTGGATTTTAGATCATCAAGAGTTCACATAGCAGAATAGTGATCTGTAGGACTGGGAAGGTGGCTTAGTGGTAGAGTGCTTGCCAAGCATGCATGAAGCCCTGGGTTGATTCCTCAGTACCACATCAACAGAAAAAAAGCTGGAAGTGGCTCAAGTGGCGGAGTGCCAGCCTTGAGCAAAAAGATGCTCAGGGGGGCAGTGCCCAGGCCCTGAGAAGCCTCAGGACCGGCACCAAAAAAAAAAAAAGAATAGTGATCTGTAAACTTATTGGAATTTAGTTGGTTCCTGAGCTGAGACAGCAGTTTCAGGTAACATTTCTGAAGTAATTACATTTTGGGGAAAAAAACCCACAGACCTTGCATACTATTTACATGGGGGGTTATTATACTACATACTTGGATATTATATATATCCAATAGTCATGGCAAGAAGAAATCTCTGAAACGTTCGAAATGAGTTCATAAGTGGGTGGCAGTCCCAATGGAAAAAAGTCCTGAGAATCAATCGGCTCTGGGTGACAACAAGAAACGGAGGAGTGGTTACCCATGGCTATCTGGTTGGGCCGGGCTAGGGCGGTAGGTAACGAACCCCCAAAATGAGTTTTTAAATGCACACCCCCCCCACCCCCGCTTAGAGACACTTGTGACTCAGTACTCCCGTTGTGGCTGGGGGGGGGGGGGAGGAAAGCTGTCGATCCGATGGGGGGGGGGGTTTAGGGGGCGCCTCGGGAAGGGGGTGGCTGCCGCACTTCGCAGCTCAGACCCTTGGGCCGAGGCCGGGGCACCCACACCGTGGTCGTCTCCATCCGCAAAGCCGATCGATCGCACCCCGGTAAAGGAGGCCTCACCCCCATCTCCCCCCCACACACACCCCCCACCCCCGCCCACCCCAGGGCTCGTCTGTAACCCTTGGGGGGCGAGAAAAGGGTTCGGTCCGCTCCCCGCGCAGAGCTCCGGGCTGGACGGCTTGACGTCGCACCCCCCCACACACACACGCACGCACACACGCCCTTCCCCGGCGCGGGAGGCCGTGGGGCCTGGGGGTCGCGTGGCTGTGGGGCCCCGGGGCCTGAGGGCCGCGCAGCCGGGAGGGGGCTGGGCCTAGTCCGAGGCCCCCCACGCGCCCCGAGGCCGCCCCTTCCTGTGTCGCCCGCAAGCGCGCTCACGGGGGCGCGCGCCCGCCGTCCTCGCCGCAGCTTCCCGGGCTCTGGCTGAGGTGGGGGGGGGGGGGGGTCACCCCCACGGCGGCGTGAGCGCCAGGTCCGGACGGCGAGAGAAACCAGCGCCCCCGTCCCAGCTCACCTCGGCGGCCGCCGCGTAGGCTATAGGGCACACTTCCGGGAGTGAGGCGGCTGCGCGCGCCTCCGGCGGCCGCTGAGCGACGCGCGTCGCCGGGGCGGGGCACAGGGGAGGGGGCTGGAGCTGAGATCGAGATTCCTATTGGTCTCCAGGACGCTGTGCTCCGCCCACTCCGCCTGCGGTCCCAGCCTCCATTCATTCTCGCTGATGGTGTGCTTTCCCAGCTAGGTGTAGACTCGTTCACCGGGCTTGAACTCTGGGCCTGTGTTCTGTCCCTCAGCTCTTTCGCTCGAGGCTACTAGCACTCTAGCACTTTGAGCCACCGCGCCACTTTGGTTTTTTGGTGGTTCATTGGAAATGAGTCTTACGGATTTTCCTGCCCGGGCTGGCTTTGAACCTCCATCCTCAGATCTCATCCTCCTGAGTAGCTAGGATTACAGGCCTGAGCCACCAGCTCCTGGCTCTCCTCTGGTTCTTGCTTAGTTTTTGTTTGTTTGTTTGTTTTGCTCCAGACCAGAGCTCTACCACATCAGCCACAACACTCCACCTCCAGCTCTTTTAAGCTAAGAATCTGGCATAACTGGCTCCTGTGGGGTTTGAGCAGTTAAGTCTCCGATCTCAATCTTCTGAGTAACTAGGATTATAGGTATGAGCCACCAGCACCTGCCATATTTTTTTTAAACTTTCATTATCTAGCAGACATCTTTCCCTATAATCATTATCTCTACCTCTACTTCAGCTCTAGGTCTTTTCTGACCTAGACGTTGGCCACAACATTTTCACCAGTTTCCAAGTTTCCAGCCTTGCTCATTTTCAGGCCATCTGGCACTGAGCCACTACAGTCAGGCTGTATCATGTCCAAATCTGGGAGTTCACTCTTGAGCAATTGACAAAAGGAAAGAACTAATAAAATAAAACAAAATAAAGGAGTTTTATAGTGTTTACATGCAAAGGAATGAAAAGTCTTAAGACATCCCAGCATACACATGTTTATGGCTACAGTATTCACAATAACTGAACTGTGGAATACAGCAAATTGATCTTCAACTGTTGAATCAATAAAGAAAATGTGTATAGCATACTTTCCCTTATTTTGGCAACATTTTTTTTTTGTCAGTCATGGGGCCTGAACTCTAGGCCTGGGCACTGTCCCTCAACTCTTCAGCTCAAGGCTAGCACGCTACCACTTGAGCCACAGCCTTTTCTATTTCTGTAGTGCTGAGGAATCGAACCCAAGGCTTCATGAATGAGGGGCAAGCACTCTACCACTGAGCCACCTTCCTAGCCCTTGGCAACTTAAAATTTAAAGGTAGGTGTGTGTGTGTGTGTGTGTGTGTGTGTGTGTGTGTGTACATAGTATTTGATTGTAACCAGGGCACTGTTTGAAGGCAATAAGAGAGATGAGGAAGCCAGGGTCAGTGGCTTACAACTATAATCCTAGCTCCTCAGGAGGCTGAGATCTGAGAATCACCATTCTATGCCAGCCCAGGCAGGAAAGTCTATGACAATCCTTTCTCCATTTAACAACTAAAAAAAAAATCTAGATGTAGAGGTATGGCTCAAGTTGGTAAAGCACTAGAAGACTTGAGCAAAAAAGTTCAGGGAGAGTGCCCAGGCCATGAGTTCAAGAACCAGGACCAGCACAAAAAAAAAGAGGGGTGAAGGAGAGGGAAATAAATAATATTAACATATACTGCATCTACCCATAAAGATTGCATTGCATAAGGAATCTTACCGAAAGCTGTTAAATACAGGCAGTGGGGGATAGAGGAAAAGAGCAATGAAGGTGGCTGCTGTGATTAAATATTATCTATGCACATGTGAAAAGCTGTGATGTTCCATGGTACAATTAATGTACACTAAAAAAAAGAATGAGTGACAAGGAAGTAAATGGGGCCTCTTGGGAAGTGAGTAAGCAGCAGGAAAAGAGAAGGTGAGTAAAGGGAAAGAGGGTCGATGTGGTCAAAGTACTTTTGATGCATATATGAAAACAAGACAATAAATACCGTTGAATATTTTTTGGGGGGAGGGGTCCAGTCATGGGGCCTGAACTCTGGGACTGGGCGCTGTCCCTCAGCTCTTCAGCTCAAGGCTAGCGCTCTACCACTTGAGCTACAGCGTCACTTCTGGCTTTTTTCTGTTTGCTTATGTGGTGCTGAGGAATCGAACCCAGGGCCTCAGGCATGCAAGGCAAGCGCTCTACCACTGAGCCACCTTCCCAGCCCCACTGTTGAAATTTTTAAGGACAGTGGTGTATAAAAGAAAGTGATAAAGGGAGTGACATTGATGGAATACATTGCATGCATGTATGGAAATGTCACACACACACTCTCCATAAAGAAGAATGACATCACAGTTGCAGGAGAATGGACAGAACTGGATATCATCCTGTTAAATGAAATGTACCAGACTATGCAAGACAAATACTTTATGTTGTCTCTCGTGTGCAACCTAGAGAGCACCTCCCAAGGATGACATGTGTGTAAGTCAGGACTTACTTTAATTTTTGAGAGAGGGAACCTTGGAAAGGGGAAGAGTAAAATGAGAGGATGTGAAAGGGGATGAATATGAACTTATACATGTATGAAAATAGAATGATGACGGACCGGGAAGGCGGCTCATGGTAGAGTGCGTGCCTCACATGCATGAGGCCCTGGGTTTGATTTGTCAGCACCACATAAGCAGAAAAAGCCAGAAGTGGTGCAGTAGCTCAAGTGGTAGAGCTCTAGCCTTGAGCTGAAGAACTGAGGGACAGCGCCCAGGCCCAGAGTTCAGGCCCCATGACTGACCAGGAAGGAAGAAAGGAAGGAAGGGAGGAAGGAAGGAAGGAAGAAAGAAAGAAAGAAAGAAAGAAAGAAAGAAAGAAAGAAAGAAAGAAAGAAAGAAAGAAAGAAAGAAAGAAAGAAAGAAAGAAAATAGAATGATGAAAAACACACACCCAAAAAAAAAACTATTTGAAAAGACGAAAAAGGGTGCCAGAGGTTCACTACACTCCTGCAGTCATAGCTACTCAGGAGGCTGAGATTTGAGGCTCAAGATTCAAAGCCAGCCAGGACAGGAAAGACCCTGAGACTCTTTATCTCCAATTAACAATTCTCCCCCCACCCAAGCCAATAAGTGGAACTTAAGCGAAAATGCTAAGAGACAGCACCCAGGCCCTGAGTTGAAGCTCAGTACCAGCATAAAAAGAGAGTGGGTGGGAAGCAGGAAGAAGAAAGAGGAATAGAAGGAGTGAATTGGACTGCAGTACATTATATGCATTTGTGGGAATAGCACCATGAAAACCCTTTGTACAATTAATATATACTAATAAAGAGTTGTGGAAACAGTGTAGTATTGGCTCTCTGCCCCAGTTTTAAAAGAATTGAAGACAAAGAATGAAGTGTAGGAAAGGAGGATATGTTCATGTACCTGAAACCCTGACTAGTGGAAAAGGAATTCCAGGTGTCAACAAGACCCAGGGTGTGAAACAACTACTCAACCTGTTGACTAACAGACTAGCTTGGCCACCTACCCCATACACCAAGAGATAAACAGTAGAGATATACCAAGAGATAAATAGTAGAGAAGGGCAGAGAAGAGAGACCTCCCTGAAGGTGGCCTTGGGAAACAGGCATTGTTCCCATCTTCAGGAAATACTGACTGACACTTCCAGCTTACAGCTAGGAAGAGTCCAGGAGCTTGCACAGATAATCAGTTTTAAACACCCCATAGTCTGATCTTATCTCAGCCTGTGTTGGTGGAGCTCTGTCAAGATAACAAAGTCCTGACTGCCCTGGGGATGGGGGTGGAGAGTAAGTTTGCTCCACTCATCAAGATATTTAGCATCAGTCCTACTGTTCTGGAACCCAAGGTAGCTGTGGAAGAAAAAAAGACACAAGAGGAAAAAACAAAAAGGGTTAAAGAGGCAAAAACTAGAACCAGAGAGACAAACCGAAGAGAGTTAAGTAAGTGAATGGCATTTTCTTCTAACTCATTCCAATTCTATGAGAGGGTTAAAGGCCAAGCATCATTTTCTACAGTATTTACTTAACTAACTGCTAAGAGGGGGAACCTAGGAATCTTGGAATGGAAGACCTTAAAACTTTGTTTCCTGTGCCTTTGGTTGGGGAAGAGATAGATTAAGTATTTAGGTATTGCAGGTTTTTACACAGGTATTTCAGGCAAGATGAACATGCTTGTGTGCAGAGTTAAACAGGAGTCTGATCCAAAGATTTTAGACAAAGAAGACAGACGAAAAATGAAGTGAGGGGTCCAAGGCTTTATATGGGAAGTTTAGTCAATGTATGGCCCATTGAGGAGTCTGCGCTCCTTAGCAAAAGCGGTTTTTAAGTGAAAAAAAGAACTAGAAGCTAAATAAAATTATAGGAAGGGAGGAAGGAAGGAAGGAAGGAAGGAGGGAAGGAAGGAAGGAAGGAAGGAGGGAGGGAGGGAGGGAGGGAGGGAGGGAAGAAGGGAAGGAGGGAGGGAGGAAGGAAGGAAGGAAGAAAAAGAATGAAAAAGGAAAATTACCTCACTGGGGAGAAATAGATAACTAAAAAGCCATTATGTTCTTAGACTCCTTCAGATGAGAAAGAAATTGAGCTTTGTAATGGACTGACTGGTCCTCTCCGTCAGGCATACATTGAACCATCTTGGGTCCCAGGGTGGAATAGGGAGGGCAGGGGAGTCCATGAGGGAAAAGGAGGTCCAGCCCTTGAGAAGCTGGTGAGGGCCTACATTTTCACTTGCCTTCAACAGTCTGAGACAGACTGAAGTGGACACATACTAGGTGCAGTGCACATGTGGATAATATGGCCTAGTTTTAACTCTACTAACTGACAAAACAGACACATCATTTCGCAAGTTCCCTGCAAAGGAATCTCAGTTTGTAGATTAGACCATAAACGTAGGCACAAACAAACGGCAAGAACATAGCAGAACTTCCAACTATAATTCTAGCTCCAGCCCTTTATCAGACACGATGAAAATCAATGACAATGACAACCCAATTAGATCTGACCAAAAGTACAGCAAAAATAGTGTGTGTGTGTGTGTGTGTGTGTGTGTGTGTGTTCTGGTCCTAGGACCTGAACGCA